CACTGTGCCAACAGCCGAAGGTATATCATTATAGTATCCTCATTGTATCATGCAACTCTTATACCCAATTAAAATGAACTTTGTGTATTAATTTAGTGAAATTCTTATTCTCTTTTACTTTTCTTGTTTTTCTTTTGCTATTGTTGTAATTTGGCGTTCGATAAACATTCAAATTCTCAATATGCGACTATTATTATTATGTTTAATGTAGATATAGTCTCATATAAATAAAGTAATGATAATACATTTCTATTGTTTTAACACTTTTTGAATAGATTTCAAAAGCGTGACCGTACAAAAATTAGGTCCCAAATAAACAATCAGGATAAATTATCTTTTTAGTCCCTAAATTCAAACTTTTTTTTGTCACAATCAATCAATATGTGTATAGTTCAATGACTCAATTAGACACATGTTTCTTCTATTTTTTTTTTTCTTTTCCTTAGCTTAGCTAGATCATTTTAGAGTTGAACTAGAGACCTCACACGTAAAAATCATCACACCTATGGTACAACCAATTGGGAGAGAATCAATAGATTCCTTTCTAGGGCGATTCATCATTTCCAAACACAACATATAACTTTTTGTTGTACTGCACTCTGTTCACCCGAACTCCGACATTTATTTGTGAAATTAACTCCAATGAGACAGAAAAGAGAAACGTTTTTGGCCCATATATATACACTTAAGATTTTTTTTTTTTTTCAAACCTGCTTTCATATTTTGAATCAAAAGATAGATAAATAGACAAATCTCATTTGTACTAATCAAGGTGTTCGAAGTGGTCAAGGAAGTCGACGACTAAGAAGTGAGTTATATTTTATCAGATAAATTTACCAAATGATCTTCGTTTCTGAAATTCTAACTTGTCCACAAATTGATTAAACTTTATCTTCAAAGTTCAATCTAGACACTAGGCTCTGGAGCTCCCCTAAATCCAATCTCTTAGTCGTCCGTACAGACCTTTTGAATCTTAATAAAACCTTTTTCCAGGTTTTTTGACTGACGCAAAAACAATTTTTTTGGAGAAAGGAAAAAGAAATTCCGTTCTTCCTTTCGCTTCCGAAAAGTGAGGACTAAAAAAATCCTATTGAAAAAAAATGGACGAGATAGCTTTTGATCTAAAATGAATGAAGGCGTCTTTATTCATACCAAATACGTGTTGGAAAATTGAAGACTTGAATAATTTCCCCTTCTATATAAATATCCAAACACAACAAAAAAATATATGAAAATAGGAAGAAAACTGTAAAAGCACAAGAATAATGACACAGTAAATTATACTGGTTCACCACTAAGGGTTACGTCCAGTCTTCGTGGGTAATTCACTAATAATTGTTTAAGGATTAAAATACAAAACACTCCCAAAAAATACCCCTAGAGGTCCCAACAAAGACCCTCTAGCTTCTAAGTATTATAACACACTAGTACAGGAATGAAAAACACTCACTAAACCTACGGGATACAAAATCCTTTTCAACACTGCCCACAACCACTCAAGTCTCTTTTATTTGGATTTTGTACAAATGAAACCTTAAAATAAAGGTTCTATTTATAAGAGGCCAAATATCCTAATTCTTATAGGAAAAGGATATTGTAATCATTATAAGACAACAATATCCTACCCTAGTAGGAATTGGTAATAGTGTTGCAAAATTATTTTCTTCCTAGGATATGAGTTTCCTGTTTTGGCTCCATAATCCCAACAATATAATACGTTGTCAGCAATGCAATCAACAGGCAATTTAGACAACGATGTCGTCGAGTCAAACGGTGGCCATATAGAGTGTTTTTTTAATTATTTTTTGTAACCTTATAAGCTGCCTTGTCAACTATTTTTATCATAAAATATGTCACTGTCATTTTTCTATTAATTTAGCCAACCAAAACTTAGCATCATAGATTAAGATAGAGTATTTTCCAAAATATTGGAAGTTAAATTATATTGTACAATTTTTTAAATTTAGAAGTATATGAAATCGACCCGTTATCCAAATCTCAAGGACAAAATATAGGACACGTATCACATGTGCGGGTGAGGTTCAAACACATAGTCAACTACACATACCTATTAATCAGTTGAACTAAGTTCAAGTCGACACATAATTCAGATTTGTGAGAGTTGGGAGTGGAAGGGGAAGAAGGTGAAAAGATTGTATCCAAATAGGCAAATAAAAAACCAAATGGAAAAGGGAATTTGGTAGAGGACAAAGCAGGTAAAAGAAGAGCATTTTCCTCTGATTACTACGCTGCCTTTTATGGGATTTTAAAATCTGCATCCTTTCCATGTCTGTGTGGTCAAGTCACTTCAATTGTCCATTATTGTTTAGGGTATGTTTGTGAGTACCATCAGAATAATGAGTAAGTTTGAAAAAAAGAGATTTAAATATAATTGATTTTTCAAAATCATCAGTGATATCTTAAAAATTAACTTAGAATGATTTTAAGCTTTTTTAAAATCAATGTTCTAATTTGTCAAACGTGATCCAAGAGAAGGGAGTGGTTTTGACAATGACAAAAATGATTTTGGTCATGTCAAAATCAYTCTAAAAAACACACCATTATTTAAACTTTTAAAAGCACTTCTGTAAAATAATATGTTTAAAGTTTCAAAACGATGCATTCCGTCTAAGTTCATTTTGGTTTTTGTACTCTTAAAACGTTAATAGTCTATTTCGATCTTTTTTTTTCAACTTAACTTTAGTTCAATTTAATCTTTGTATAACATTCATTTTGGTCTTTCCCTGAATTTTTTTAAACTGACAATTTTTATCTTTTTATTTTCATTTTTATCTAATTTATTTCTATTAAATTTTTACTACAGCACTTCACTCATTTTTTTCTTAAATGTAGTTAAAAATAAAGAGTTTTCATAATGTATAAAATTTTTGTTAAAATTTTGTAAGTATCAATTGAAATGGTCATTTTTCAATGGTGCAAATACCACACTATACATTTTGAAAACACAAGAACTAAAATGATAAAAGTCAAAAATATTGGGATCAAAATAGATAATTTGATTTTGAAAGTAACTAAAATAAATCAAAACTGAAAGTACATGGACCACAGTAATATTTAAACATTAAAAAATGTTATTATAGAGTAATTACATATGTGTCCCTCGAGTTTTTATTAAATGATTTATGAAAAAATAAAACTAAATTAATTTTTAATGAAATTTTCAGATCGAAATAAAATATTAAAAATTTTAAATATCGAAATAGAATAAATACGAAAATTTAAAAACCAAAATAAGATTGAAAAAGAACCTTTGAAATTTAATAACCTTTTCTTTTGAGTACAAAAAGTAGGGTAGGGAGGAGTTCTCCTCCCGTATTAAGAATTTGGTTACACGTACACAGTGGACATTGTTGTATATCTATTTATAAGTCTTTTTTGGTATTTATTGTACATTATAAAAGTAAAGTATAAAACAAACTACTTTCCAAAAGTATTAATAAAAGTATGAAAATATGCATAGTGGCCCCTTTAATTATAGAGTATGTGTTACATATGTTTGGTTTTCATTTTTAAAGTAATACAGAGAAAGCCAACCTGAATTTAGTTTAATTGACACCTATCTCTAACGAAGACGTCAGGAGTTCGAATCCCTCCATTCTACTTTTGTTGTACTAAAAAAAGTAAATATAGAAAAACCAAACATAAAAAAAGATATTTCCTTAGTTAAATAATTAATACAACATGAACCTCGATAGGATTCTCAAAGAAAATGGTTCTTCAATTAGGCAATATTGCACACCCAAGTTGGAATCATTTTCTACTAGACAAATGTTGGTTGATTTACATCAAATAACATACCCTCTTTTTGAAGTAATGTGTATCAAATCCCCAAACACCAGCTGCCCACTCTTTTATACCATTTATCCATCCTGTTATTCAAATCAAAAGCAATATCAGTGTTAAGATCTCACTTTGGAAATATAAGGGACCTAACAAAGGTTTATAATAGGCATGAACTACTCTGTCATTATCAATTGGTTTTGAGAAAAAAACCTCATGAACATTGATATAGTATTAGAGTTCAAATGCTCAAACGAGCATCGAACCCGACCAAGACTGATGAGCTAAAAGAGCCATAATCTTGAGAGAACATGTTAAGGATCCACGGTGAAAAGATAATAGACCTAACAAATATTTATAATAGACATCGGCTACTCCCTCTCATTGTCAATTGCCTTTAAGATAGAACTTATAAATATTTATCATCACTAAATCTTATAACATGTCACGTCATCATCTAGTTGCTTTGAATCGGACCCCGACTTAGAGAAGAAGAGACTAAAAAGACCATTATTTAACCTTTAAAATAAAATTAAAATTAAAAAAAAAAAAAGGRATCAAGCACAAGTATGAGAGTGAGTTTATTGGTTATGTAGCTAGGGCTAGGGCTAGGGCTAGGGCTACCCAAATTACAAAATGATAGTTTCATATGATTATGCCATTATTGTTCACGGGGATTTAAAAAAGGAGAGGACAGAGCTTATAGACCAACAGGTTTAAAGGAGAGAGAGAAGAGAGAGCTTATTATTATAATATTATTTGGGTTCGGAAATTGAGGAAATTTGATAGCATTTGGAAGAATCCATGAGGCCACAGAACACCTCTTTAACTACTGAAAACTACAGCTGAATTTGTCACTACCCCTTGGGAGTCCCGACAATCGTTTGATTTGTAAGAACAATACAAACAAAATCTCACATTGATTAGACAAAGAAGTGATCTGTGGAATATAAAAGAAGACAATTATCTCCATTGGTACGAGACATTCTACGTGAAACAAAAAACAAAGTCGTGAGGATTATATCCAAAACGGGCAATACCATACAATTGTGGAGATATTTAGAATATTGAGTACCCGTTGTCCTCAACGACAACATCATCCATACACATCATCCATCATCCGATGCCTCCACATCAATACATAATAGTTTCTCTCTCTCTATGAAAGTTGATGATAAGAGAAAGGGAGAGAAGAAGAAACACAGATCTGAGATGTGGGTTATTTAGTTAAGTTGTCAATCGGATCAAATCAGTCAATCAACGAAATTTCAGCCAATTGCAGTCACAAAAACAAAAGAAAGAAGAAGAAGAAGGGTTAACATTTTGGTTGAAATATGTCATCTTCTTCTCTCCCTACTACCTTCTCGCAACTTTCTCCTTCTCTTCCTTCTCCTCCTCTCGACCAGCTCTGCTACGTGCATTGCAACATTTGCGACACCGTTTTGGGGGTACGTCGTCATTTTCTCGACGCTCTTAGGGTCTCTTGTTTGGTTTTTCTTTATTTCTTTCTTCTTATTCAATTGGGTTGAGTTTGATTTATTTAGGTGAGTGTGCCTCCGGCTAGTTTGTTCAAAACAGTCACCGTCCGATGTGGTCACTGCACCAACCTGCTACCGGTGAACATGCCACCGCTCCTCCCTTCTACAGATCAATTTCACGGCTTTGCTCGCTCGCCTGCTTTCTTCCCTCTCAACACTCACAATTTTCTGGTACTTGAATCTTCACTTGACCAATTGTTTGATAACGATTTTATGTTTCAGTTGTCATTGTTTTTAAATATTATGCTTGTTTACTAATTTTTTCCTCTCCATCTTCTAATCCACTCCCAAAAACTCTTCTTTTTTTTTTAATTTGGGTAAAGTAAAACTAAGTGAACGATTTCAATTTTCACCTAAAGAAAACGAAAAACAAAATCGTTACCAAGGCATAGGTTAGAAGTGACATAATCTCTAAGTTTTTACACAATCTTTTTCCAAAGTTAACATGGCTTTGCTAGCCCTAAAAGGATGAGATTGAAGAACTCAATACTGAATTTTCAGCTTCTTTCTGAGTTTTGGTGGTTTTCTTTTCAGGAAGAAATCTCAAATCCAAATCCAAATCCAAATCTTGTGATGAACCAAACAGATGGAAATGATTTGACAATGGCCACTCGTGTAGCTAACGATATTCCAAGGCAACCCCCAACCATAAATAGACGTGAGAAAATTCATTCAATCAACTCTAATTTTTTATTTAGTTTTGTGCTCTTTTTTTCTTTTGGTCTAAAATTGGTTTGAATGATTTATTTTCTTTTCTTTTCTCTTTCCTTTCCATGTTCTATATATAATTAATTAGGAATTTCTTATGATGAACAAGCCTTTAAAAAAATCCCATTAATTTTCAAGATAAATTTGAGAAAGTGAAAAGAAAGAAGAAAATAACAATTTGGCCTTGGGTAAAGTTACTTTGGTAGGAGACTTCACTTTCAAANTTTTTTTGAGGCGCATTGATATTTTGTTAATTAAAGCTCTATTTGATATTTATTTTGGTTTTTTTCTTTTAAATTAAACTTGCAAACACTACTTTCACCTATGTATTTCTTTGTTTGACATCTACTTTTTAAAAATATTTTCAAAATCTAAACTAAATTTTGAAAACTAAAAAAAAAATTCAGATTTTGTTTTGGTTTTTTAAATTTGGTTTAGAGTTCAAATGTGTCTTTTCTTAACAAGCATATATAATTTTTAAAAATACAAAACTTAAAATAATTATCAAAGACGGCCTAAAAGATTTATGAAAAGAGAGAGAGATTTAAGTTAAGCAAAAGAAATAATATTTTAAACCACTAATAAAGTATTATCCATAAAGTTGACAATAGGAAATATTAAACAATAAGTTTTGAACTCTTAATTAGATCTATATTGTTCTGTATCCATGTTACTAATTACTAAACTCTAAACTTAAACTTGTAGGATTGTATAACTTCTAATCTTTTTAATCTAATACCTACTACTTTTTTATTTGTGGATAAAGATGTTAATTTTGATGACAATAAATTATCAAAGGTAGGATTTTCTTTTAGTATTACAAATCCAAATTAGCTGGGGCCTTAAAAGAAATTTAATATCTTAACCAGTCGTGTTGGTTGAATCTTAATAAATAAACTTTGATATGACTTTTAAGCGGTGAAAATTTCATAATATGTGGTTGTATAAGTTCTTTCAAAAGGACGAGTTACTTAAATAAGTGGTTTTGAAAAAATACTTCCTTCAAAGAACTCAATTTTAAAAAACTAAACCAAACTCCTTTAAAACTTTGACACGATTTTGTTAGAGTAGTGTTTTTAGCACCAAGTACTTACTTAAATAATTTTAAAAAAATATATATATAAGACTTTAAATTGAAAAATAATTTTAATTACTTTTAAGACACTTTTAACTATAGACTCCTAATCAAAATCATATAAGACTTCAACAAAATATACGATGAAGATTCGAACTTCCGATCTTTTGATCGAAATATATGTTTGAACCAGTTGTATTGTCATGTTAAGGTTGGCAATGAATCGTCGGAGTCAAGATTTAACTACTTCGATGCTTTAAATATATTGAGAGTAAAATTAAATTAATACATGTGTATTGGGACAACATAAAAACAAAATGTAGTACTGATTTAAATTCTTTTGCCTTTTGTTGATGTATCATTAACTATTCTCTTGGTTCTATGTGGTTGAGTCTGCAGCCCTAGTTGCTTTTTCTCCTCTTAGGCTGCCCACCTACAAAACTTACAAAGTATAAAAGAGAGAGCAAAAAAAAAAGTCATAAAAAAATAATAATAATAAATTAGGGTTTGGTTTGAAAAACTTATTTGAATTATCTTGTAAAAGTTAAAAGGTTCTAATGCAACTTTAATTTAATTTTGGAATGAGTTTAAATCTTAGATACTTTGGTTTGTTAACTTTATATATTTATTCAATTTTTTCTAGTTCCTAAAGTTTGTGTGTAAAAATCTATCTTAGTTCTTGTCAGCAATTTATAATTATATATTTTATCTTAAACCTAAGAATAGAGACTTTTATTGGTCAAGTGTACCTGAACATAGCTTAAATTAATTAAGGTACTTATCTACGACTTAAAGATCGTGAGTTCGAATCTCCATCCTTAGATGTTGTATTAAAAAAAGTAATAAGTTAGGTGTTTTGGGTTTTTAACTGTAAAGACCTAAGATAATTTTTTAACAATCTTGGTCACTGTCATTATTATGTGGTTAATTACTGAACCATAGATGGATCACAGAGCTTCCATATATGTCTATTAACCCGGTAACATGAGCATGTGCTAACACCACACATATTGGCTGTAAGCTAGTCGAATTGAGCTCGACGAAAATTGATAACAAAATAACAACAATAACCAAAATGATTATTCTTCGAGAGAGTTCATATACTAAACGAGAACCAAAATGGAGAAAGAAAATTAAACTTTTAATGAGAGGAGAAAAAAAACCTTTGAAAAGTATTAGGGTTTATGATTAGTGTGTTGTTTGAAGTGAAAAACAATGTTTTTACACAGCTCCAGAAAAGAGACAGAGAGTACCCTCTGCTTACAACCGATTCATCAAGTGAGTGCTACTCATTTTCTTTCTTCTCTTTTTATTTCTCTTTCTCTCTCTATTTCTCTGGTTTCTAAATTTAAGAGAGAGAATAAGAACATATAATAAATATTTATATGTCTGTATGGTTCAGGGACGAGATCCAACGAATCAAGACTGTGAATCCAGACATCTCCCACAGAGAAGCTTTCAGTGCTGCTGCTAAGAATGTATGTATCTCTAGTTCTTTCTTTTTATTTTGGTTTAAATATTAGTTTGATTAGTATAGTTTTGACTTTGGTTCATTTTGATTTATGTAATTTCAAAAGTTTATTTTGGTCTCTATGCTCTCAAAAGATCAGTTAATTTGGTCTGTGTACTTTCAAAAATTGATCATTTTAATGATCTCTATTTGCAAAATTTTAACGCAAATTTTATGCATAATGGAAGTTCTTTGATACAAATTTATGGTTGTATTTCAATAAATTTAGTGAGGGAAGGTACAACTAAAATGGTCATACAGGGTACCAAAACAAACATTTCCAAAGTATAAAAACTAAAATGAACTACGAAAGTATAAAGAGATCAAAAAGGACGTTTAAATAGTATCTGAACGGTATTATTTTTCCCTCTTTTCCTGTGTCAAAATTATAATATAATTAGGGTTTTCTTTTTATCATGAATCTACTATGTTTTCTAATTTTATGAATTGATGTTTGTTTGTTTTGTTTTGATTTTATGGTGCAAGTGGGCCCACTTCCCTCATATTAACTTTGGTGTTCCTCCTCACCGCACTGCCAAGAAGACAAACATGCTTCACCAGGTCAAAACTCTCTCTCAACTCTCACCGTTTCTTTTTAATAAGATAATGAGTGAATTAAGAATTACGTGAGAAACATAAAAAATAACAATAAAAAATTTAAATGAAAGTATTTTAATTGAACAATATGGTAGAAATGCCGTAATTACATAAGGCAAAGGTTTTGGAGAGCCAAATTTGATGCTGCAACTTTGATATTCTCCCAAAGAAAGTCATGATTTTTTGAATTTAATGTAAGTTTTTTAACTTCAAATAGTGTTTATAAATAGATGTAATATTATGTCTAATAAATCTTTCAACTTCAAAAAGTGTATAATAAAATTTTCTGAACTTTCAATTTTGTGTGTCTAATATGTCTATAAGCTTTAAAAAAAAATCTAATATTTGAACGATTTATTAGACACAAAAATGAAATCAGTTCAATGACCTATTATATATAGAAAATTAAAAGTTTTGAGATTTATGAGACCATTTTTTAAGGTTTAGGGATCTATCGTTAATACACAACATTAGAAAGTTTAGAGATTTATTACAAGATTTTTAAAGTTGAAGTATCTATTAGACAAAGAGTCGAACTTTAATTAAAAAAATTAATGTATAGTAATTATGTGAAATTATTTGATATGCTTGACATAATGGAGAAATTATTTGAGGATCAAGTTACAACAACGTGGCTAACAATTGTTATGTTGTTAGAGGTATAGAGTGAAAATTAAAACTTATGTTTTAACCCTAGATCCAATGGTTACGAGGGAGACTGCAACATTGAATAATTTTTCAACATAACGATAAGTTTATATTGTCGTTTCGATGATGGATCTAACAATTACGAGAGTAGCACTCACAATGTGACAAGCCTTATATAATTAGTTTGATATGTTTTTTCAATACATAGTATGAGGGTAATTTAATTTTTTTGATTTTTGATTTTGATTTTTGATTTTTCAAAATCATGCTTATTTGCCTTATTTGCCTTGTGAAAAAATGGAAAAAACAAAAACTAATTAATAAAACATGTTCATAGTTCTTGTGAGCTTACTTTTAAGAAATGTAAAACCAAAAAAAAAGTTATCCCCAAATGTAGTCTTACTTTTTTTAGTTTAGGTTTAAACACATAATATTAGAATATGTGAGTTTTTTTTTTTTTTCAGTTTTCAGTAATTATTAGCTCCCCATTTGATTTTGTTGATTATAAATAGGTATTTATGAATGAGTTTGTCTTGTTAATTAGTCAAATAAAATTCACAATCATGATCCTTACTTATTAGAATATCCCTAGTAGAGGATTTCTTTTTGTTAATTTCTTTTAAATGAACGGTATTTTAGTTTAATATAAATAATGTTAGAAAATATAGGACCAAAGCAATTTAAGATATGGGTCTTGAATTTGAAGTTTGAATCTTGAGATGTCGTTTTTTTAATAGGTGCGTTTAACCAGTTGAGTTACACTCGACACCTTGAGATGTCATTATTTCTTTGTTGATACTAAATTTAATGTTTTGAATTTGTGTAGGAAGGAGATGATGTGACGTTGAAAGACGATCGGTTTTTGGGTTCAACTAACATGGGAGTTTCCCCTTGTTAATTAAGATCAAATCTTTTTTTTTTTTTTTGTCTTTTTTTGGGCAAGAAGAAAGGGAAATCTTCAAGTTCAAAGGCTTCTTTTGAAAATTCCTCTCTTCACAACCCATCTCTAAAGTTTCTAAGCTATTTTGTATTATTAATTGTGTTGAAGCCTACTCTATCAAGTAATCTCTATTTTCTTTTTTCCTTTTTTTAACTTTTTAATGCTTAATTATTCTGTAAAAGAAACATTAATTACTCTTATCAACCAGTTGCCTTTCTCTCTGTTTTTCTCAATTTTCTATTTACATCACACAAACAATGGTATAATGAGACTTCCCGTGAAACTTTCGCTTTCAATGACATCGGAATATGACTTGTAAACTTTACTGTAACCATCCCTTTATTGACTCTATTCGACGCTTTTGGATTTACAAGGATTTCAAATCAAAATGAGTTTGCATTTATTTTGTTTAGTCGAAACCTAAAATTCAAAATTTAAAATCCTATCTAATTACAAATATTTTTTTATCTTAAATAGCTAGAATTTGGTGAGATTTGAATTTAAAAATTATCCGATTATTCCAAATTACTTATCACCACTCAGAACATATCACGTAGTGCATCACACTCACCCATAAGGCAAAATTACTGCTGCTTGTTTTTGTTTTTTTTTTTTATTATTTTTTCCATTAAATTTTTTAAAATTTTTGTATATAAGTCCTATTTAGAAAGTAATTATTATTCTTTTATTTTAAACAATTTAACTTTAATTTTCCCTTATTTGAATTGGAGATATTTGCAAAATAAAAAATTTTTGACAATAAGAATGAAGTTTGAAAGTTTTAATTTATAGCGTTGATTTTATTTGATTAGAGGATTTGTTTTTTCCTTTGATTATATATAATTGATATGTTATTTGATATTAAAATATGATATTATTATAATTATATATGGCAAAATTATAAGCTCATAATTACAATAAAATGTTTATTTTATTTTCTTTTCATTTTCAGTGAACATTCAAATTAAAAAAATTTAATTTTTTGAAAGTCAATTTTAGTTTAAAATGTAATTAAAAATTTGAAATCATTTCTATCTTTTAAAATCCTTTAATTTGAAATTATTTCTGATTGATTCCAAATGACAACTATTTCTTGTTTACTCTCTTTTTTATTGAAAAATGAAATATCAATGTGTTTAGGTAGCCATTTCTTATTCTTTAAATTAAAAAATAAAGAATTGATTCCTTAATATAAATTTTAAAAAAAATTATGTCTATTATGCATTTCATAAATCAAAATGGATAAAATAATGCTTTTATTCATGTATTCGAAAAATTGGAAAATAAACTACTTTTTTTTAAATATTTTTTAAAAAATAAAAAATTAGGTAAATGCTTATATTTCACAAAGCTATAAACAAGAACTATGAATGTTTCTGAACGACTCCTCAGCTGCAACCTGTTTGTGTCTTACCCGTGACTTTGTTGCCTATACATGGAAAGATATTGGTCTTTTTTGTTCTTTTTTTTTTCTTTCTTGAGTATAATATGTGAAGGTGGAGATTCAAACATGACCTTTTAATCAAGATATATATGTTTTAACCAATTGAGTTACGTGCAAATCTTAAACATGTTGAGCTATGTTCAAGTTATGCTATAAGCGGATGTAATCAAGATCTTAAATGGTGTCCAAGCTCTCTTCTGAGATGGTAAAAAGTCCTTAGTAAAAATTAAGCTCAAAGAGTTGTCTGCTTTTTTAACAAAACTTGAGGAATCTTTTGATCCCCTGTTGAATAATGCCCTTTTTACCAGAAATTTTAAGAGCAAAATAGAAAAAGAGACCTCATTTGGGGCTGCAACCCCCTTGCCTCTCAAGCACATATCATCCTGTTTTGCATTTGATCCAAAACGACCCTTTAATTTCGAGTTCTTGTAGCACTAATAGGATTATTATCGGAGCGGAGATGGGAGTTTCCCGTTTAATTCCGAGAATCAGAGCAAAATTACACGGAAAACTCGTGAGAATAGAATTCATTACAAGCTGTTTATTATTTATTTACCGTACGTAAACATCACAACAATATATCGTAAACCAACAAATTCTAGTAAATTTCAAGGGCATATAAATATACGGGACAGAGACAGACATGGAAGACACATTCCGCGTCGAGCGGGTCAAAAAGTAACACCCTTTAAACGCAAATCCGTGAGTGAGTACTAAACGACTACTTTTCTTCACTACCTCGTGATTTTGAAAACAATAAAGCAGATTGATAATATTATCAACAAAAACAACAACAGTTGCACAAGTAATTCATACATCCATTCCACTCCCAACGAAGGAAAAGTTTTACAAAGTTGGGAGGGAGAGAGTTGAAATAAATAAAATAAATAACAAAACATTTGGAACAATTCTGTGCTGTGCTAACAGTAAGTAAAGTACCAAGAAACCCACAAAAAAGTAGCAGTGATTTAAACCCTGCCCCCTCCACTTGGATTTATTACCCAAAAAAAAAAAACATGAAATTTCTTAAACCATCTTCTCCCTATTCTAAAGTACACAAAAACACACACACCACTGCCTTGTGTTTTTATCTAATCAATTACTTCTTCCTGCTTCTCACCAATCCCCTCAGGAATTCCATCACCTGCACCCAAACACCAATTCATTCTTTTACTTCGCGCCTCATTTTTCCATACCCAATTCTATTCTATTATTTAAAAAGCCTTAAATCCAAAATTTACGGAAATAGAGAGATAAGGCACAAAGACAAACCTCTGATGGATCCCTCAGAGAGTAGAACGCGTTGGTCTCTTTTGGCACAGAAGACACCAAGATGCCGTAGCCTTGGTTCCTCTCCCGCAGCACCTGCAAGAAAATGGTTGGAAAAAGGATTAGAAACTGAAAAGCACCAAACTGCAAGATAACATCAAAAGATGCACGTCAATGAATTGTCAAATAGGTGGGGACATTGGTCTCTAAAGCTTGAGTATGGTCCATGCGCCGTTTCTTTTCCACAAATCAATTGATTTGAGAGGAACTGATCCTTCACTTCTTTTCCGAGTTTAATCTTTTTGAGCTTAATCATTTCAGGATCAGAGATGTATTTTCTTATCAGAGAGGGCCTCGACGAAAGCAGAGCTTTTTTCTTTTCTAAAGGGACTGGATAGAGGTTAGCTCCATACATGTTTAGAACCAACCGAGTGTAGTGTGGTGTTTATGAGACAGCGAGGCTTTCTTCTTTTATAGATAGATGGCTGGGGCTTTGTAAATGTGTAGAGGTAGTGTAGTAAAAAATTATGCCACGGCCAAACATCATCTGGTCAATGTATTATTGGGCTCATCTCATGGAAAGAAAAGCCAAAATGGAGTGTACAAATATTTAGTCTGAAAACGGGTTGGAAATCCGCCAATAGGAGGAAGAAGGATTCTACCTTGAAAGCATCTTCATCAGTACTGTCATCACCAATAAAGATAGGGAGCACATCTGCGCTTGTGTTTAATCCTGCAAAATTTTGGATTCGAGATAAGGGTGAGCGTGAAAGCAAAACTTTTTAGTATCTATCTGCAAAAGAGGCACAGAAAATGAACAATTACCAAGAGATTCGAGCAGAAATTCAACTGCTTTTCCCTTGTTCCAATCAATCACTGGACGGATCTCTAAAACCTATATAGTATCAAACCAGAAGTTAGAAGAGAAGACACTAAAACAACTCGAAATAGTGAACGCGTGCACGCGATGCGATGTCATCTATTTATACCTTCCGCCCATGTGTTAATCGTAAACGTGGGTGGTCTTTTAGTACATCATGAACACATTGTGCTATTGTAGGCCAGTTCTGAAGAAGAGAAAAAGGAGAACATGCATATAAGCACCCAGATATTAAAGCCAAGCTTGAAGTGTATGCAATCTCAGAAATCGCATACAGCGAGAGACCTCGGAATGTTACCTTCTCATCTACATTGCGGTAATGTACAGCGGCACAAAATTTGTGATTCTCAACTTTTGCACCTTTAATACCCTTTGTCTTGTCGACGAGGGTTCCAAAAACCTGCAAGAAATAATTAAATTTGTTGTACGTTATTTGTTTGAAACACTACACAATGCCTTGAAGAGGTAAATAAGAACAAAAATGTGCACCTCATCAATCATGGGTAAGAATTCCCTTGCGGGCTGGAACAGATTAACCTCCTCACCCTGTATTAAAAAGTTGATCGGAATTGAAATTAATGAGGTCACAAATGATTAGCAAGTGACGATCTTGTTTAAGAATTCAAGGATCGTATTATATTCCACCACTCACCTTTTGGTCAGTAGATTTAATACAGTTTGGATGGAAATTCAGCACTGTTTGACTCACAGGGCCGATGATGTCCATTCCATGACTACCAGCATAATAGAGTTCTGTTAGTCCTACCAAGTCAGAAACCTAAAAAAATGAAAGAATTTCAGTACCTTAAGAAATTGAGCTCATGACGAAAAGCTAGAGAACAGAGAATTCCGGACGGATTCTCCACTTACCTTTTCTCGCTTTCTTCCACTAATAATTGCCGTTGGAAAATATTTGGCAACATTCCTTACAGCAGAACGCATCTGAAAGAAATTATTTTTTTTCAAAAAATATGTAAAAATACAAGTAGGAAAAGTACAAATTGGCAGTGCCATTAGAATGCTAGACGTACAGCATTAGACATAACAGCACAATCTGGATCATCTACTATGGGAGAAAGGGTCCCATCATAGTCCAAAAATACAGCTATCTTCTTACTTTTAGCATAACTGGTAATTTGCTCAAGAGAGTTGAGTGCGGAAGGATACTTAAGCTGCAGAGTAGCAGTAAGAAAGATGAGTAAATTGAATTGAAAATTGGACAATGATGTAGTATAGATTCACTGAACATCAAACAGTACCATCCAGGAGCTGTAAGCAACATCAGTATCGTCATCTGAAGCAAACTCAACATCAATATCCTTAATCAGCTTCTTTCGAGGAGGAGAGGAGGATTTCATTGCATCCAACCAACCATTGGACCAGACATCATCAAATTTTCCTGACTTTTTCCTTGGAATTGTGATATATTTACTTGGGGGAAAGGAACCCCCTGATTGAGAGTAAGGCAAAATAGCAGGATGGATTCCTAGCCTAGATTTATTCATTGGTGCAGGTTCAGTGAGAACGGGAGAAGCGTGGTTTGATGTCAAGTCCATGTAACAAGTTAATACAAGAAAAAGATTTTGTAATATAGTGGTGTGTGACGAGAGAGAGGCTCTTCAATCAAATCGAAATTTATGCCCGCCTTTGTCCTAAATAATTTACCCAACCCTTTTATCAATGAAAAACCAACGCTTCAGTGTTTTTTTGTCACTACTGCTTGGTGAGCAGTCCATCAAGCGCAGTCTTCCTGAAAACTGTTGGTGAAATGTGTTAAAAAATAAATTGAAATTATTTATTACATGAAAGAAGGTCGAGATGCAAACAGGAAAGACAAATTTGGAAACAGTGGTACCTTTTCATTGTCAAAGCAGCACAGCATTTATAAGATGTTGCCCAACATTATTAGCTATCCGGCCTTCGAGGAAGGAAAAATATGCTTCAATAACAAGTGATTCTCCCCTGTTCTGCATAGAAAGAGAAGATGCATAAAGCTGGGTAGCTATAACAACTTGACAAGTGAATGCTCAAACGACCCAAGTAATAAATTATTGTCCACCCTAGAATGACATCAGCTAATTAATCATCGCCAGTAGAAGTAGAAAACAGAAAACCGACTACAAAAAACATGAAATTAAAAGCTAACAGTACAGTACTGGATATTATGTACCTCAGCGGCACATAAACAAATAACTTCAAGGAATAAATATTTAACAATAAACTGGATAAGGTGTCTAATTCTTGAAATAAAATTTTCCAAATCAACCAAATCTGTGGTCAAATTCTGGTGATCCATCTCCCCGAGATGGACATAATAATAATTAATAATAATATATCAGAGCCATGTAAGGAGTTCAGGTCTTAAAATGTTTACATATTTGTTTAATGCAACAGTTCTCACATGCATATTCTGATTTCAGTAATAATATAATTCTCAGGCCTGTAACATAATTTAAGCACGCAAGTTATCTGGGGAGGTGTATGTCTAATAAAGCGGGAGTAGTTGTCATCTCCTCAAACCAACCACCAATTGATGAATAATTATCCTGACACTTCCAGATAATAAACTAAGGCGCCAGAATAAAAGACATTAAATTGGATTATATTTTAGATTACAAGTGTCTGAAGGAAGGTTAAGAGAGACCAATAAAAGGGTTCTAATGTGATTTAAAATTGATGGTTATTCGCACAAGATGATAATGATTTATCCATCCATTTGAAAGAAAAAAAATACATGTAAAATACCAAATAAATTCGGAACTAAAAGGTCTCCAGGCTTTCAGATATCATACTAAAACATGACACCTTGCCTACATGCTACATCAAGTAGCTAATTAATGAAGGCTACTTGCACGAAATAATGAATGATTTATTTATTTATACATACAAAAATTACATTTTAAAATACCAAAAAAATTTTGATTTAAAAAACCTATCTGCCTTTTAAAACATGCATTTTTCTACAAGCTTCAACTAGCTATTAGAGAAAACTAGAAAATATAACACAAAGAAAGGAGGGATTGAAGATTTAGAAACTAGGAAGGTTCGATGTTAAACATGAGAATCTACAAGTTTATTGGATATAAATTTCCAGAGTAGAAGTGGACATCTTAGTAAATATATTCAAGCATTCGACAGCCCACCTCCCTGTTTTGGAAGTAACGTTCCGCAAAATTCAAGTGTTGATAAGAATGCTTCAGGTCTTATCTACACATTTTTATTCAACGAATCTTGCATTTTCTAATACAATACTACAGCTAGATTAAAAAACTATTCTGGGACGACAAAGAAAAATGCTGCAGACTAGCTATGGGGATCGTGTAGTAAGCATATGGAGTAGTCTTTATCTCCATAATCAAATCCATGGATGAATTTGTTGCTTGACGTCACCAAATAAGATGCCAAAGAAGTCATGACAAAAACTGAGTTATTTAAGTAGCAGGTTCTGTGAGAGTAATAGTGTAAAGAGGGACCAATTGCATTGTGAGAAAATATTATAATGTTGTTGATAACCAACTAAAGATCTATCCATTTGCGTAGGGGACATAGTCATGGCACTCTGTCTACAAGTTTTCGATGGTAATAAAGAACATTAAAAAGCATGAAAACTCTGCGTGTGTGAGAGAAAGGAGGTGGATGATTATAAAAAGACAAAAGCTACTTTCAATGATTATAGATGTAATAGTATTTTAAATCCTCACCGCCCACAAAAAGGAAAGAAAAAAAATCCCAAGCACCCACCAAGTTATCTTGATCATCAAATAGATCGGATGTACAGTTATAATTCAGATTTGAAGAAATAAAAGAAATGGTATGGTGTTTATAGCTTAATAAAGGCAGATTAAAGAAGCCATAGACATCTTTCAATGGAGAAAGAACACACTCCATCGTGTCCATCCTTCAAAAGCAAAGAGAACTTCTCATGATTTTTTATTTTTTATTTATTTTGTATAATTACATCTGAAATTCATGCGTGTGAAAAAACAAAAACAAAAAAAGTCTGGACTCCTAGGCCAGACCTACGGACCACAAAGTCATGTCTAAAGACAGTTGTATCAAAAGGCAGAGTCCTGTATCTGGTAGGGCCAACCGCTTAAAGACGAGACCCACACAGGCTAGAAATTACCCAATCCTTTTTGGTAGAGCTCTGTGCTCCCAGGAATATGGACATTACTAAAAAAATTTACCTTTTGATTACCGCAGGGTGGAAAAATAAACTACAGGTACCAATATAAATATTTTTATATTGGCAACGAAAATAGTCTTAAAAGGTGTTTTTCTCTCTATATTAGGCCCTTGATGTTTTGAAACCATTTATTCTTGTACTTGTATATCCGTAAGGATAGAGATGTCCTTGTGTTCTGTAAGGATTAAGCTTCTAAGGCTAAAAAGGTGGACAATAACCCAAGGATCTATGATTTGAAATTAACGCTTTTATATAAATACAAACAAAAAGTCATTGGAAAATATTATTGATGATTTGATGGGTGATCGTGAGATTTGGAAAGAACCAAACTACAAAGAGTAAAAAGTAAATCAATGTTAAAGAAAACCAAGCTATGGCAGAAACCAAAGTTAATATAATTTATTGACCAACTGAATCCCGAGAGTTCTAATGAAAAGGTTAATGGGAGTTAGTTACATCAACAAAAGCACGTGAATTTTTCAACCACGACGGTGTTCGCAGTTTCCAGCAACCGACAAAATAGAAATTTGTGGTAAATTATCACAGACGTTAATGCGACGGGGGGCGAAAAAGGAGCTGTCATATCAATTGGTTCAGGGAAGCCAACTTTTCAACAAGGATCCTATGTGCTCAATTTGGGAAATAAGAAAAGCGATCAGATTCATTTTAGGAAAATCCAGAGACATTATATATATATATAATCAACCAGAAACTCGAAATCATTAAAAATAATTGTTAAATCTACAGAAAAATGTTGAAAAACCCTGGCATCGAGGAAAAAAAAAAGTTTCTCGAAGGAAGAAAAATCTCGAAAAGACTACCGCGAAAAAGGTTCTCTGACAGCATTTTCCTCATCAACAATAAAATATCAACGAAATGCATTCAATAAAATGAAAAGGAAAGACGAGCCGCCGGCGTACCTGATTTGAGCCAACACGAAACGTAACCTCCACTTTTTTTTTTTTTTTTTTTTTCGGCGCTCTTCGGAAGGCAAGATACGAGATCAAGAACCTGGAAAAATTGGATCAAAAACAGGGAAAATCTGAGAACAAAGAGGGAAAATGAAGGAAAGAAAAAGAGAGGGAGAATCGGACATTGAAGAGAGAGAGAGAGAGAGAAACCTCCGGTGGAGCGCGACGATAGAGGTGACGAAATCTAGAGCCAAACAGGAGGCGGAAATATTTTCTAGAGAGAGAGAGAGATCGCGAAAAGCGATGGTGAAAAAGGGTAAACAGAGAGAGAAAAGGGCAAAAAGAAAGGAGTTTGAAGACGAGAAATTTTTGAGTATTTATAGCCTTCTGATTCCGTGTTCAACAAGGTAACTCCYCCTCTCTCTCTTTCCTTTTCTTCTCTCTCGTTGGTAAACTAATAACCAAAAAAAATCACCGAAGGAGACTATTGTTATAAAATTGTCAGCCACGTTGCCATAATTTCTCSGATAAATTCGATTTTCGCTCGCCCAAACTTGCAAAAACCATCCGATGTTGCATTGTTGAAGTCTTGAGCGGTAGATTATTTCATATTTTATCGATTTTTTACAAATGATATTGATTCACTCTTATATCGATATCGCATTCATCGACCTATAGAAATGTAGATAAAAATGTCAACCTCTCATACAAAATTTAACACTCTACTTTTTAGGACTTTTTTGTCCTCTTAATGTAAAGCGGGATGTTTTTATTAAAAGGAAAACAATTTAATTGGAGTCGTTGTGTTCATGAAATTGTTATAATTAAATTATTATTGTTATGTTTTAATTATTAAGCATAGGTGGCATTTTGACACATATCTCAAACGATATGTTTTTGGAATTATATCCTTGCAATTGAACACAATATTTCTATAATTTTAAAGAGATAATTATTCGAATTAAAACTTAAAAATTGTTAACTCAAGAAGAATAATTTTAACATAGTTGGACTAGTAATTTTAATATAGGTTATACTTATAGTTAGAAGTTTGATTATTTATTGTTAAAAAAACTAAAATAAAATAAGGAATAAAAATAAAACTCATGGAGGTTAATATTTAATATTCATTAAAATAAGGGTTACTGATTTGTCTTTTATCGTTATTATTATTATTATTAAACGAAAAAATAAAGGAAGTTGTGTGGGGCCCAGTAGAGGAAAAAAGGGTGAGGAAACTTACACGTGTACGTCATAGTTTGTTTTGTAAGTTCCGAGTCGATGACACCTATGAAGGTGAATTTGTGACGTGGCCACGTGTCACGTGGGCCCCACGAACAGAACAACGGACGAATGTGGCGCAGCAGTCGCCTCTTTTACAGCTGGCACTCGTCTCTCACGGAGGGTTTTTCTCCTTTTTCCGTTACGCTTACAATTTTTCATTTTCTCGTTTTATTTTATTTAAAATATATATATATTAAAAAACAATATAGAAATAAAATAACACTCTGAAAAATTAATTATAGTATATGTAGCCGAAACGAGCCTAGTTCAACATTAATTGGCATATATCTCGAATCAAGAGATTGTGAGTTCAATTCCCAACTCTCACCAAAAAAAATTATAACCTATGTTTAAATAGTATTTCTTTTTTTTATTTTAGTTCATGTATTTTATATGATTTTCATCTTTATTAGTAAAACTTATAACATAAATTTTATACCCAAGAGAAATATTTATAAAATAAATTTATGACTACATTTCAAAAAATTTAGAGAGTGAAGTGCCATACTAAAAAGCAAAGAGACCAAAACAAATGTTTCGAGATTACATGAATGATTAAAATAAATCAAATTTAAAAGTATAAATACCAAAATGAACGTTTTTAAATTTTAAAGACGAAAATGAACTAGAGCCGAAAGTAACCAGAGCAATATTTAGAACTTAATTATAATAAGTATGCCAAAAAAGAACGTTGTAGATGGTGTTTGTTGAAGTAATTTTGGCACTCAAATAATATGTTAATGGCAAAAGCTTTTTATTTATGGAGAAAAACATTTTTAGTATTTTTTATTCGGGGCCAAAATCACTCCCCTTCTCATTTAACATGTTTAACAAATTAAAATTTTGATTTTATGAAATTTTAAAATCACCTTAAATTTTTAAGGTACGTGAGGATGATTTTAGAAAATCAATTATACTTAAATCTCTTTTTTTTAAAATCAGTCATTATATCGTCACTCTCAACYATACCCTTAATTTACTTGAAAATATTTTATTTTCAAAAGTCGATTTAAATTCACCCTAAAATACTCAGGCCTTCGATGATAGTGACATGAGAATCTCAATGGTTGTGAATTTCTTTCCGAAAAAGTAATAACAATAACAATATAGTAGAGTGGAAGAGAAGGATTACTCCCTTTGGCAAAGAAACGTGATTCACATTTGAAATTCACATTTCTAAGAAACAAAACATTAGCATTAATAAAGTTTGCCCAATGTTTTGATTTAGAAATTAAATTACCCCCACTTGCTTTAAAATTAATCAAAAGCTAATTGGAAAACGCTAATTACACACGTAGGGTACCATTTAAAGGGGGCTTATTGCCAAATAAAGGGATAAGAGAATTTTTAAGTTTCTTTTATCTTCATAATCATGTTTATGTTCATGCTACTATTTGGTCGGATCGATAATATTTGTTTTACTCTCGATCGTTTATAGGGCCTGTTTAGATTTATTTTTATACATGGGTGGTTATGTTTTGTCTCGTTTATGAGATATATATATGGCTTTTCTTTTTGTTGTTTGTCTACTATAGTTGCGTTGTTAACCTTCTTATTAGTGTTTTTATAATCTTATTGGCAGGTCTCTTTAGTACACTATATTGCATACCATAATTAATAATATATTTAGCATTTTTATTTTACCTTTTAGTGTTAATGTTTTTTATTTTTACTTGAGGGGAATCAAAACCTTTGATCTTTATAGGGATGTCACTCGTGTCTTAACTTTTTTTTTTTTTTTTTGCTTAATGGCAAAAGTCGGAGGAATTTTGGGGTGCAGAGATTTGAATTTCCAACCTCCAGGGAGCTAGTTCATGTTGGCATTATTATTTTTAAAGCATATATTAGTAAGGCATGAACATCGTTTCTTTCTTTAAAGAGTCGTTAAGTTCACATCACCACCTCGTATTTGTGATGTATAATTCTAAAATACGAAATTATTCATGATTAATTTGATTGTGACGTTGATGTTGACGCATTATTTTGAATTTAATGAAAAATTATATGATGTATACCAAATAGTTTCTTTAGTTTAAAATTTCTGCATAGAATTATTGAAATGATTTGGACATCATATCAATTTGATTTGTAATAAAGAATTTTAAAATGCTAAATATATTCGTTTATCTTTTTTAATGAAGGCCTTATTGTTAGTGGATGATAAATGAATAATGGTGCGCATCAATTTGAAGGTATTTTTTTAATGGGATTTTCAGTCCAATGGGAATTGAACTCAAAATGTTTGACCAATTGAGTTATTTAGGTTGGCAAATAATTACTTTTCTAATCCCATGTTTTCTTATTATAATTAATGTCAAACCTCTTCTTGGAAGAAGTAACAATCAATTATAAGGATGCCAGCCATATCATTTGACCAAACCAAACAACAAACAACAAACAACATAAACAAAGAAGAGAGAGAGAGCAAGAGCCTTTTTTTCTTTTTTCGCATAAAAGTGATTAATCAATTTGTTAAGAAACAAAGATTGCATTTAAAGAAGTTATTGTCCACTTCTATAAAAGGAGAGGAGGAGAAAACCCACCAAATAAAGAATATGTTTGGAAATTAAGTGCTATATATATGATTAGAAAATTTCCCACTTGCTTGCCAATTAGTCAAAAGCTACTTGAAAAGCCAAATCTACTTTGATATTTTATAATTAAGTTAAAAAGAACATAATCAATGCATATTTTATTTTCCCCTTGGGTTATTTTGGGGCAAGAATTAGTAGCGCGAGGGAGGGAGATTGAGCAAACGATTCGATGTATCTGGACAAGGAAAAAGCAACGAAATAGAGGGATGTTAAGTGAGTAGAGAAGAAGAGTTGAATGGTGATCAGTAGCAAAATGCTCCAGAAGAAGATGGAAAGGAGAAAATAGAGGCTACATAAACAAAAATTATAAAATAAAATTAATAAGTTTTGTCATCGTTTGAAAATTTAATGTCAATAATAAAGTCTAATCATGATTTAATAATCATGTTATCTTTCTATTGGGTCAGCTAATAGTTAATAATTGATGCATGGATTATTTAGAACTATATGGTAAATTTAAGAGGGTTTTTAACTGCAATAACCAAATAAAAATCAAATTCAAATATCAAGAATAAAAAATAAAAGATATAACTTTAAAATAAATCGTAAAATATAAAAAAGTTAATTGTGTATTTGTATACTTTATAATTACTTTGTAAATAACCATTTTTAGGAGAAAAAAAGACTTTGTAAATAACTTTTCTAGAAGAAAAAGTTATTTTTTTTTTCCCAGCGTCTTTTTAGTCCTTTTAAGTATAAGAAGTTATTCTATTTACTAAGATTTTAACTCTTGAAAGAAAAGGTTGAATTACAAATTTTCTCTTTCAAGGTTTGTGCTATTAAGTCATTGTATTATAAATTTTTAATAAAATATTTCTAACAAGTCCCCTAAAATTTAACATTTTGTATCTAATATGTGTCTCTATGATAACTCCATGAATTTAATATTTATAGAGTCCCACCTGATATTATTTATAGATTACATTATAATCTAATTTCAGGCAAATTCTACTTGGAAGCATAATTGTTAAACAAATAAAGGTAAAGATCTACGTGGTACAAAATTAAAAATTCTAAAACCTATAGAATCTAGATAGTTGGCACCTCTAGATGATTAAAATGCTAGACATATGAAATTGTAGATATTTCGCCTCTTTAAATAGCTATATATTTGTTTTGCAGGAACATTTATAAGAATGTTTGCCAACTTAGGTAGGTATGTTTGTTTTGCCGGTAATTAGGAACGTATTAAAATTTCTTATTATTCCAACAATATCCTTATCAGTCATCATATCAGTCATCATATAAGTCATATGTTAAAAAAATATATATATATACATATATATATATATATATATATATAATTCAAATTCATATAAAAAATTTGTTTTTATTAACTTAATACTATATTTTTATGTTAATTTAGTTTATGTCATGTGACTAGTGAAAGAATAAGTAATAAATGAAATATTGCAACCTAGATTTCAATTGAAAATTAATTAAGTTATTATATCATTGACTAAAGTTTATTTTATATTTAAAGGTAATAATAATAATAATAATAATAATAATAATAATAATAATAATAGTAGTAGTAGTAGTATTTAGTCATTTATGAATGAATTAGTGCATACATTTAATTAAAAAATAAAATAAAATTAATGACAAATAAAAAAAATTCATTAAAAATATAATAAATATGATGAAAGACAAAATTATCAAAAGAAGTCGACATAAATCCATATTGTGTGAAGGCATTCAAGGGCATCTAAAAGTGCTCGAGGATCCAACATTCCTATTAAACAAACATAGGAATCTTGATGTCAATCTTATGGAAATCTCAAATTCCCGTAAAACAAATGACTCTTTAAGATAAACTTTTTAAAACATAGAGACCACGTAAACACAACTTTAAAAATTTTAAGAACGAAACTTTAATCTTAAAAAATTCAGAATCAAATTTATAAATTAACAAAAAAATAAAATATTTTTTTTCATTATTCACGATAAAAAAAAATTGGCATCACAACTAGGGTGACATCTTTTAATATTACATCTTCTAATTTTCTAACATGAATCCTTGTATTTTCGAGAATTTTTTTTTTTGAAATATATGATATAAATTTAATAATTTTGGGCATGCTTTAAATTTAATGGGCTATATACATGGGCCTTGATTGTTGTGCATGTTTTTTAGCTTCTCCCTTATATGTGAGATGCATCTTGACTTCTCCCATGATGGGCAAGTGGTGTCAAGGTCAAAAAAGGAAGGACTATACTGAAAAAAGAAAAAAAAAAAAAAGAAAAAAGAAAAGGCCTAATAATTTTGGTCATTTTTCAAAATGGAAAAAGTCTAATAATTTTGATCATTTTTCAAAATAATTCTTTAGTGCTTAAATAAAGGATACCCAAAAGATTAGGAAAAATATGTATATGTACTTTTAGGCTCACTTTCAATTTCATCCCATCGTACGATTTTTTTTTTCTTTTTTAATGTATCAGATTATACTTTAAACTTAGATGAGTGTTACGATCTTTAAACAAGTATTGCAATTTTTACTTTCTAATATACTTCCATTTGAAGACTTTTAGTTTTGATAGGAAATTGATAAGATTTTAGAGAAAAATGAAACCATAACTACTTATTTGTTGAATTGAATTTCCATCTTATGCATGAGTCATTTTGGGAATAACAAAAAAAAAGTGTTTTATGCAGCAAAATATGTTGGAAAATACCTTTTATTGGGTTTGTAAGTAAAGAGTTTTTAACGAAATTGAAATTAAAAGTTTATGACGAGAATGGATAGAACTTCCCAAAAATGGATTTTATCTCCAACAATTATTACCCAAAAAAGGGAAAAAAATATATGCTAAAATAAAATGGCCTTTAATCTTTTAGTTAAATCTCAAATTGATCTTAATTTTCTTTTAAGATTTTAAATTTTACCCTGAATTTTTTTTTCTTTTTTTCAATCAATCAAAATTTTTTTATGTGAATTACGTACTGAATTATGTTAATAATGTAAATATTATATATGTATCTAAATCCGTTAATAAAACTCACAACCTCTTGGTTTGGTGTAGGTACCAATTATCCCTCTCCATACTAAAACACAAATCCATTAATAAACACAATCATTTAACCATGAAAATTTTTTAATAATTGAAAATTCAAAGAGATTAAAGGCCATATTATTTTGTATATTTTGAAGAGAAACAAAAAGTAAATCTTAAGGGAGAGAAAAAAGAGAAGGAAATTTCGCGGATTCGATAACAATTGGAATATATTTTCAACTAACAGACGTCGGCGCATTGGGGGAACAGAAGCAAGAACCTCGAGGAGTGAGAAATTTCACCACCGACAATGGCGGATCATCTTCTTCATCTCCACACTCTCAATCCAATTCCAAGGTAAAATTTCTCATTCTTTCTTTCTCGAGACATCAGAGAGTGATCACAATTTCTTTTAACTTCCATATATCATGGCCTGCAAATCAAATCCCAATTTGTTCTTGTTTCTGTTTATGGTATTCATTGAATTGAGACTCGCCCAGCAGATTTCCCGCACTGAAAACGATCCAAAAGACTGTAAAGATCGTTGGATTCACATCAGAAGCCTCCCCTCCCGATTCAATCTCGATCTCCTTTCCAATTGTTCTGAATACCCAATTTTCGATGATTTTTGCCCTTATTTGGCCAATCACGGCCTCGGCCAAAAGACTCACAATCGCTCTCATAGTTGGTACAGAACCGATCCCTCGATGCTTGAACTTATTTTCCATCGCCGAATGCTTGAATATCCTTGCCTGACCTCAGATCCGGATTCTGCTGATGCGATTTATCTTCCTTATTACGCCTCCATCGATGCCCTGAAATACCTCTATGGCCCCGAAGTGAACTCCAGCGCCGAGCACGGCCTCGAGCTCTTCGATTTCCTCCGCCGGAACCAGCCGGAAGTGTGGAACCGCCGTTTCGGGCATGACCATTTCTTGGTCATGGCGAGGCCGGCCTGGGATTTCTCTCAGCCGTTGGAGAACGATCCCCCGATTTGGGGCACTTCGTTCTTGGAATTGCCGGAGTTTTTCAATGTCACGGCGTTGACGTACGAGGGCAGGGCTTGGCCATGGCAGGAGCAAGCCATTCCTTATCCCACTTCATTCCATCCCCCCAATCTCGCGTTCTTGGAGTCTTGGTTACAGAGAGTCAAGCAATCTAAACGCTCCACTTTGATGCTCTTCGCTGGCGGGGGCGGCGTCTCGGTGACTCCCAACATCCGCCGGAGCATCCGTGACGAATGCGAGAACACCACCGCCACCACCGATGGCGATTACCCCGCCACCGCTGGGGGCGTTGGCCGCAATCGCGATGCCAGTCTGTATTCAAACTTGTGTGAAGTTGTGGATTGTTCCAATGGGATCTGTGAGCACGATCCTGTTAGGTACTTGAGGCCAATGTTGCAGGCAACTTTCTGCTTGCAGCCACCCGGAGACACCCCGACACGGATGTCGACATTCGACGGGATCCTCGCCGGGTGCATACCGGTGTTCTTCGAGGACCTGTCGGGGAAATCTCAGTACAAATGGCACTTGCCGGAGGAGCAGTTTGAGGAATTCGCAGTGACAATACCAAAAGAAGATGTGGTGTTCAAAGGGGTGAAGATTTTGGATGTGTTGATGGGAATTCCTAGAGGGAGAATCAGAAGGATGAGAGAGAGAGTGATAGAGCTAATTCCTAGAGTGATGTATAGAAAGCATGGAAGTTCATTGGGTTTAAGAACCAAGAAAGATGCATTTGATGTAGCCATTGAAGGGACATTGCAGAAGATTGGATTGAGAGTGAAAGAATTGAATTCAGAGTAACAGAACAGAGAGATGCTGGTTTATCAGTGTTTATTTGTTTCTGTAGAGCTTTTTCAGGTCTCTTTTTGGCTAAATTTATGTAATTATCCATTATGTTTTATGGTTTGATTTGTGAATAAGAGAATTCTTTGGCAAAATTGTGGACTTTTTAGAAGAGAACTGAGATCCAAATGAAGAAAGGAGTGTAAGAAACATAGGCTATTTGGGTGAAAGGAAGAAGAATGAACTTTGTGTTGAGTTCAAGATGAAAGTCTGAAACTGCAGTGGCTTTCTGCTTCCAATGGCAGCACTTTTTAACTAACTAGAGAGCCGGATTTTAGACTTGAGTATAATTCATTCAATTGGGTTTAGACGAATTTTGAGAGCTTTCTCTCTTAGATGTCTTATTTTTATAAAAATATTTAAATCTTAATTTATGGAAATGAAAATCTTGATGTAGATGAATATTTTTGAAGAAGAAAAATTATAAAAATAAAAAATTCATAACAAATACTTAATTTAACAAAATAAACAAATATTTTACTCTTTCAAAATGATTAATAATAATATTATGGCTTATTTTCATTGATATTGTTTTTATATTTCTTAATTTTTTGAACAATACTATAGAAATAATTAAAATGTTAAATCTATGTACATGTGAAAACAAAAATTTAATTCTCTTTTAGCTTAATTGAAAAAATGGTTTCTCCTAAAAGATGAAAATGTTTTTTTTTTTGACGTAAAGTTTGTTGAGAAAATTGACAAAATAAGCATTCTATAAGGGCTTTTTAAGTTTTTTAATCAGTCATTTGCTGACATCACTTTCCCACCAAATGACCCTCACTACCCTTCCACTGACTTCCCTCCTTATTTCTTCTCTCTACCTCCATCTCCCTCTTTTTCCAGATTGTTTTTTTCATTATTCTCTTTTCCTCTTCAACAAAGTTTTTTTTCTCATTCTCTCTAAAGTTTCTCTTTTACTTCTTCCATCTTTCTGTATTTTTTCTAATTACTATTATTCCCTTTCTTCTTTATTGTTCCCGTGACTTCGCTGACGATAGCTGCATCAAAGCCGACGAAGGAAGTCATTCACCAAAGAAAGAAGCTCAGTGGAAGAGGAATGGGGGAGGAGATAAAGAGAGAGAGCGAGATCGAGATAAAGAGAGAGAGCGAGATCGAGGGTGAGCGAGAGAGAGATCGAGGGAATCTAAAAATAATATTTTTAATGAGATTGTTTTTTTTATAGTATCTAAAAATTAATTTTGAATTAATATTTATCAAATCAAATTAATTTTGAAAAAAACGGAATCTCAATATTAATTCAAATTGTTTCCCGAAATCTCTGATAGTTTTAATTATAATTGAATTTCAAATCCCCCAATTTTACTTTCTCATCTTTCATTCCTAATTTAAATTTTAATCAAATGTATCAATTTAAAATCTAATTAAAAAAGAGATTTTCGGAAACAAATTGAATTAAATTTCAAATTCGAATAATTAGATTTTAAATTGATATTTTCATTTGATTAAATTTTAAATTAGGAATGAAAGAGATGAAAGCAAAATGAGGGGTTTTTAATTCAATCCTAATTAAAACTACGTTGAGAGATTTAATGAGATTGAGAATAGATTTCGGGAAATAAATTTGAATTAATATTGAGATAGTATTTTTAGATTCCCTAAATTCTCGCTCAACCTCGCTCTCTCTCGCTCAACCTCGCTCCCCCATTCCTCTTCCGCTGATCCTATTGCAATTGGGGGCTTCTTTTAAGCCAGCCCACCAAAGAATTCCACCTCGACTCCCTCTACCAGAGAATCCAGGGAAAGACAAATAACCAGCCAACTATTATGTATGCCTTCCTCTCATCTTCCTTATGGAATGGGCTCCTCCTTAGAATTAACGAGATCGTTAGTCTTGGATGAATCTTCTTCTTTCTTCGGCGAACGACCTCTTCGTCGGCTTTGATGCATCCATCGTCAGTCACGGGAATCATGGAGGAAAAAAAATTACTGAAAAAATAGAGAAAGAGGGAAGATGGAAAAGAGAAACCCCAAGAAAATTTTAGGGAGAAAAAAAATCTGGAAAAAGAGGGAGATGGAGGTAGAGAGAGGAAATAAGGGGGGGAGTCTAAAATATTAGTGGAGAAGAGAGAAGAGAGATGAAGTCTGGAAGAGAAAAAAAAGCAAGGAGGGACATGGGAGGTCATTTGTCAAAATTGATGATGTCAGCCGTGACTAGAAAATTAAAAAACTTAAAAGAGACCCTTCCAGAAGGCTTATTTTGTCCATTTCCGAAGTTTGTTTAGGTTGTTAAATCATAATTAACCCGTTTTTTTTTTGTTTTATAAATGCTTTTTGGATGGATGGGGGACCCACAATGAGAAAGAGAAAGGAACAATGGTGATTGAGTTATTATTATATTTTCTCAATTTTGTTGTATGTTGTGTTGTTGTTTGTCTATTTTAATTTTTCTTCTCTTTTTATTAATATGTCAATAGTTTCCCTGATATCAAAAAAGAAAAAAAATGACAATAGATAAAAAAATATCTACAAAATATTACTGGTATAAATATAATATTAAAATCATAATTTTTAACTTATTTAAATATAGTGAAATGTTTTAATTGTTCATTTAAATGTTTGTTAAGAATTTTTTTATCTTTATAATTGATAAAAACCGACTTTTGAGACTTAAAAACGGCCTAAACATTACTACGTGCATGCTAATTACATTTAAAACTCTTTATTAAGAAAACTAAATAATAAATCTTTCATAAAATAATTGTACAAAATAATTAAAAGGTTTTATTCTAAAAAAGAATTACATAAGACATGGTAAAATAAATAAGTTTTAATACAATTAAAAAGAAGACGAACTTAATATAGGGGTGAAAATTCATGCATAACCAGCAAGCCAACGAGGTGAGACATGCATAACACATACATATATCATAATAAATATAATCACGTGAGACCTAAATTTTTGTCAGTAAAAAATCATTTTCCTTTGTTGAGGTGGACAGTTAACACATCATTTCAAAAATGATACCAACTCTCTAAGCGGGTTTCATGAGTAGAGTCAAAGTCAAGTCTCACTCGACAAAGCGCCTCAATCTACGATGTACCCGCCTAACGCCTCTATGTACATCTATTTTAAAAAACTAACTGCCACTCAACATTAATTAATATAATTTTTTTATCACAAATTAATTAGTAGGTAATACTACTAGCTCATAAATTTTAAATAAGAGGGTAGATGGTGGTAAAAAAGAGGACAAGATTTGGAGAATGATAGAATATGGTTTGATCCTTTAAGTCTGATTTGACCTTATTCCAGCCGACTACAAGACAACTTTCCAGTAAAAAAAAGTAAATGTCTTTAACATTGAGTTAGATGCTCATGTTTACGATATTATTGATATTTAAAACTTAGATCATACACAAAAAACGAGCATAACTTAACCATAATTGACATATATCTCCAACCATACCATCCGCGAATACAAAATTTCCAACAAACTTGGAGATATTATAACTTAACTAATATCGTACTTTGAAAATAATGAAGCAGAAATTTCCTCAAGCTTTCTGATTTGACCTTGTTTTTTTTTGTCTTTCCCTTGCAAAATATCAAACATTTCTCTCCTTCTCCTTTTTTCTTCAGAACTCCATATTTTCTTCCTTCTCCCTTCTCTCTGTCTTCTCTCATCTCCAATTCTCGCTTGCTCGAAGACATTTAAGGTACTATCTAGTTTTTTCTACTTGGATTAATTATCTTTTTCTTCATCATTCGATCTGATATAATCTGGTGACGATAGTAATTTAATACGAACTGTAGGAAGGAAAAAAGAGTTGAGACCAACGCATGTTGTCTAGGGGGCTATGATCTGTTTTCAGTAATTAGAATTTGACATCTGGTTTTGATCAACTTCCAACTAATTGGAATTTCTCTTGTAAAATTGATTTTCATCCTTCACTCTTGACTCAAATACGCATGCAGAAGTGAATTGAAAATCAGTGATGTAATTTTCTGAATTCTTTATTTATATGGGTATGGTTCGCGATTATCTTTAGATTGATGAATAATATGTAAATAATTGAATTGAAGAGGGCACTTACGAGTTTGCTGGATGGGTGGTGTTATTCATAGGCTTGTTCTGCGAAAATGGAGAAGGAGCAAGAGCTTGAGTGGGCGGAAGCTCAGGGGATTGAAATAAGTGTTGACCTGGTAACTGTGGCCAAACGTCAGCTTCAGTTCCTCTCGGCTGTTGATAGGAAGCGCTTCCTTTATGAAGGCCCTAGCCTTGAAAGGGCTATTTACAGGTAAGAAATCTGGGGATTGATTTTTTGTTCTCGGTGGCATCAATGCAAAGAAGGTAGTCTATATCAATGTGTTTAAATATTGGTTCAATTATAAGTTTGGTTTGTTACTTTTCTAGATTGTGTCTAATAGATCCCTGAACTTTAAAAACGAGTCCCTAAATTTCAAATTTAAAAATTGTTTAATAGATCCCTAAACTTTGAACTTTGTATTTAATAAGTCAATGAAGTTTCAATTTTGTGTTATATAGATCTATAACTTGTGAGACGCTTTTAAAAATTCCAGAATCTATTGGATACAAACTTGAAAATTCATAGACGTATGAGTTACGAGATACTTTTTAAAGTTGAGGTACCTATTAGATACAAAATTGAAAGTTTGTGGGCTTATTAGAATTTAGACACAACTCTCAAAGTTCAGGACTAAACTCGTAAGTTATCTTTAAATATTTTTCTGTTACTACTTGTTTATCACGATTATGAGGTATAATGGTTTTGGCTACAATTTTTTATTCTTAAAGCCTTGTAAATTTATGGTATGATTCTCTTCGATTACTCTTGGATTATTACTCCATTGCAAAGTGATGTCTGAGCTTTAGATGTCAGATTTCTGAAATGTTAAAGTTTTAATTGTAGGTATAACGCTTGCTGGCTTCCATTGCTTGCCAAACATTCTGAATCCCCTCTGTTTGAAGGACCTTTAGTTGTCCCACTTGACTGTGAATGGATTTGGCACTGTCACAGATTGAATCCTGTACATTCTAACCTTTAGTTTATATAGTTCATTGATAGACCAGGCTATGTAGTTGAGTTGCTAATTTTTTTTTTCTTGATTCGTTTAGGTACAATACAAATCTGATTGTGAGGAACTTTATGGGAAAATACTCGACAATTCTAATGTTATATCGACCATTGGGAATTTTTGTCTAAGAGAGACTGAAGAAGTTTGGAATGAATTATATCCTGAAGAGCCCTTCAACTTCAACCCAACAGGAGAGTTTCAGGAGGATTTCCCAAAAGTGCCCTCTGGACTTGCAAAATACACCAAATATGATCTAGTTTCAGCTGTTAAAAGACAGAGCCCCTTCTTTTACCAGGTATTGACTCTGGACAGTGAGAATTTATATTGAAATGTGCCTGATGAACTTGACTCTAGGCTTAAAATGCTTAATTCCCAAACAAAAAAAGTTATTTACAAAAAGGGAATATTCTCGTTTTTGTCTTTGCGTCATGTGGACTTTTTTCCTCAATCACTGGAAACTTTGATCTTACAAGTCTAAACCTTGTTTTTGTTTGATCTTTCTTTTAGGTTTCCTCTAGGGCTGAACTTTCTTTTTCCATTTTCTGCATCTTTCTAAAGACGGCATTTATGTTTCCAGTAAAAAATATAACATTTTACATGGATAGTATTTAGCAAATACAACTGCATTCAGATGATGAAACTTCAACCACTCATCATATGTTTTGTCCATAAATTGATGTGGACAGGTGTCCCGGCCTCACATGGACAATGATATTTTCCTTCAAGAAGCTGTGGCTAGATACAAAGGATTTCTATATTTAATAAGAACAAACAGGGAGAAATCTATAAAACGTTTCTGTGTTCCAACTTATGACATTGATCTAATTTGGCATTCTCATCAATTGAACCCTCTTTCCTATTGTAAAGACTTGAAAAAGGTACTTGGTATGATATTGGAGCATGATGATATGGATTCAGACAGAACAAAAGGGAAGAAACTGGATACTGGGTTCTCTGGAACTACCAAACAGTGGGAAGAGACATTTGGTACTAGGTACTGGAAGGCAGGGGCAATGTATAGAGGCAACGCCCCATCTCCTCTTATGCCAAGTTCTTATTCAACTGACATGCTTAAAAATCATGTGGTTTCATCCCAAGAGTGTCAAAAAATAGTTCATCTTCCAGAACTAAAGTCTGTGGAGGTATTTCCTTTTCTTTATGTATTCTCATATACCATACCCATTTTCCCCATGAAGTTTTTATTAATATTTTAAGGTCATCCAACTTTCAAATGGACTTATTCTACTGCCATATGTTGTATGTTTCGTATTTCTATGTTCAGGTCCTACTGGAGTTTGTGGAAGTTAAAAACGTACCAGACGGGTTGAAAGGCAATCTTTTTGTACAATTTATGAAAAGTCAACCTGATGCTATATTCAGTACCAAATGGAAACTAAGCATATCCTCCGAGACAGGGGTGAAACAAGTAGCTTCTTTTCAGTGTGAACCTAAAGGAGAGCTGCAATTTGACCTCATCTGCTTAAGGACTTCCAACATACCTATATCACGGACTCCTCTAACATTGGGCTCAATTTCAATCCCGCTGGAGGACATTTTTGCTCCAATCTCTAAGCTGTCAGTGGAGAAATGGTTGGAGCTGAGGCCAGGTTCTGGGTCTGTAAGCTCAAAACCAATATCCCTTAGAGTGGCTATCTCATTTACCGTTCCCAACCCTGCACCACGGGAACTTCGTATATTTAGTGCTCGAGAACTGTCCAGATGCACATCTTTTCTCCCTTCCTGCACAAGGATACAACAGGCGAAGGGCTTGACACAGGTCATAGATGAAGCAGGCAATGATGTTATCAGCCTCCAATTGAGGTAAGGTGATTCTTGTTATCTGGAAACCTGGGATTTGATACTAATTCATAGTCACAAGTCACGGTTATGGTCTATGTTGGAAACAAAAATTACATATTCAGTGTTTCCTCTTTCTCCAATGCGTGTCTATATGTTTGCACTCTAATGTAAAGCGATATTGAAGTACCAGTTTTTGTAGATTAAATGTTTTTGTAGATAATGATCCAAGTCTCCACTACGTGTGCTGTTTGAACTGGTTAGACATCCCATCTGTGAAGCTCATAGCCATTCTCTTTACCCAAGTCACATTCCTCCAGACCAACTCTAAGAATAAATATGTTTATTATATGACAGATTGGACTCTACTTTATTACTGTTCAATATCAATTAGCCAGTTTATATGATTATAATATATCTTAGTTACAAACTTTTAACTGGTAATTTAGCTGCACTTGCTAGTAATGGCATTTTATGCAGTTATTAAAATTTTGTTTGTTTTGGTTCCTTTTTGTTAAGGGATTCTCTGAAGGCAAAGGTGGGGAGGAATTCCGTTCCAAGTAAGGAGGTGATTGGCATAACAACATCTGGTGAATCATGCAATCTTGCTGAGTTAGTGAAGACAGGGTGGTCTCTTATTGATGGTCAGTGGTTACTTGATTCTAGGCAAATGCCCAATGAGGATGGCCATCTTTTCAAGCTTGAGGGCAACAGGCTGGTATGTATGGCGTCTCTATTGCAGTAATTTGATTCTGCCCTTTAAAGGATAAACACTTTGTCTGCCTATTATGTTGTTCTGAATGTTTATACCAATTTCTTTCTTGAATCTTCTTAAGATAAATTATGCTGCCATTTTCCATATTGCCTTGAAAACTAGTTCTATTGGTGAGAATCATTACTCAATGAAACTTGCATATCATGAACAAGTCAATATAATTATTTGAATCTGTAAAGTTTTCATCTAATGAATACTTTCTAAATGCATTTTTGGGTTTATTCTTGGAATCCAAAATTTTCTCTAACAAAAATTTGTACTCACAATTTGAGTACATTAGTTGATTTACGACCCTGCACACCACCTTCACCCAATATTGAATTTCCTAAGAGTACATATATTATAGGTCAGTTTCCTAGCATCTTATGCAAAAGATAATATCTGCCCTGGATGGCCTTGAATGTTTAAAGTACCTTTGCATTTAAAAATAACATCTCAATTGAATAGTTTTTCAGGCACCTTTGCATCCAGATGACTTTGAAAATGTTCCTATTTTATGACAAAATATTTGCTTGGTATAGGTGAAGTTCTTCCAGGGCAGGAAGCTGGATTATGAACCGAAACACTGTGAGAAACATAACCATGAACAGGACTTCGTGACTGCAGTTGAATTCTCTGCAGAATATCCATATGGAAGAGCGGTGGCATTGTTCAACTTCAAATATGGAGTTATCAAGGTACTACCATGCACTATCTATTTTGGAAATTGAATGTTTGAGAATGATACTGACTTTCTCATCTGTAATATAAAGATAAAGGAAGAATGGATGGTGGTGCCCGGAATCATGACAGCTTTTCTTCTTCACACACGGAAGAAAAAAGGGTATAATGGCTTAACCTTAAGTGACGAAAAATTGGAGGTTGACACTGTTCCTGAAAATGTACATACGTCTCATGAGGAAGAAAAAAGTACGAATCTAATCAATTTGTCCTTGCACAGTACAGATCTAAAAGACAATTTTTCTGAAGGAAATGCAGATATGCCAGTAGAAGATGAGGCATTTAGCAACGGTTGTCGGAAATATGCAGGTGATGGTATTTCCAAAGGTAATATAACAATGCCATTGAAAGGGGACACTCTTAGCAGTCGCTGTGGTGGCTGTGGTGCTGGGTGCGGTTCTGGGTGCAGAAACATGGTAAAGAGCAGTGGATGCGGTGCAGGGGGTTGCGGTGGTGAGTGTGGAAGCATAGTAAAGAGTGGTGGATGTGGTGGTGGCTGTGGTGGATGCGGTGCAGGGGGTTGCGGTGGTGGGTGTGGAAGCATAGTAAATAGCAGTGGCTGCGGTGGATGCGGTGCAGGGGGTTGCGGTGGTGGGTGTGAAAGCATAGAAAAGAGCGGTGGCTGTGGTGGATGTGGGGGCGGTTTTGGCTACAAATCTTCTCAGTCAAATGAAGGTAACCATTTGAATGATGCAATTACTGCTGGAAACAACTTGTTAACTGCTTGAGATTTGTTTTCAGATCATAAAATGCCCAATAAACAGAGTTTATGTAAGTTCACATAATAAAGTAGAGGGAGAGCCTTAAAACCTACCCAAAAAACATATCAAAGTCATAAGTAAGTGTATATGCCTTATGATCTGTAAAGTGTTTGGCTGTGTATATATTGACAAATAAATGTGTAAGCCAGTTCTCAAGTAGGGCTTGGCTTGCTTGGGTCAATGTACATGCATTTCATCTCTATTTCACAGATGATGGGAGAAATTAGGCTTCTATCACTATCTGCATAACAATAATTCTCTAGCTATTGGGATTTACTGAAACTTTCTTGGAAAAGAAGGCATCTTCTTCTTTAAATCTGCAATTTGAAAATATGGTTTTTGTGCTTGGATTGTAATCCTTCACAAATGAAATTGCAAATTATAATTGATGCCTATATATAGATGTGTTATAATGTGTGAACATTTAGATTATGTGCTCTTAGTTCCTGAGTTTTGTATTTTTTTTTTCTTTTTTGGTTTTGGAAAATAGATTTATTTAGAGGGGAAAGTATCAACTTTTTTTTCCCTCTTTTTTGGTGGTTTGTTTCTGTTTGGGGTTTGTGTTTGGTCTCTTAGGTTTTAATAATACTTTTTTTTGGGTCCTTGAGATTATTCCATTGTTAGTAAATCTAATGAAATGCTTATTGGGTTCAAAAAGTAATTTATATTCTATGATGTGGCAAAACATTTTTCTTTTGTGACATGGCAAAAAATGAGTTATTATCATTATTATTTTTTGTCATAGTTAAAAGTTATAAAAACTATTATGTTTTTTTTTGGCAAAATAACATAAAATATGGTTAGGGACAATTCTAATAAGGTTTCATTTTGAAACAAAAATATATATTTTTTAATTTATTTCTATGACAATATCAATTCATCGTTGAAATCTCCAAAAGTATAAGATTTTGTATAAGATTTTGAACTTCTGAAAGGTCCAAAAGTGTAAGATTTTGAAACTTTAAGATCAATAGAAATGAAGTGTAAGATTTTGAAACTTTAAAGATCAATAGAAATGAAAAGGACTTTCCTTCCTCTAATCATTGAAGAAGCATATTTCAAGTGGATAAAGATAATTTAAAAAATCCCTTAGTCATCGTGATGGACAATTGACTGAATATTTTATTTAATTATTTTATAAAAATGAATATGAAATTAATGGTGTTGATGGGGCAATAAAAACTATTTGTTATTTTTATTATATCAATGTGGCAAAAACAATCATTCTTTATTATTATTTGTTTCCATCTATGTTATCTATATTTTCATGACAAAGCCTATGAATATGACAAAATGGACCATTCATAATTACATATGGTCATGTAAGAACAAACTTTTGCAATAGCTCAAATAAAGTAGAAGTTATCTTTTATTATATTTTCACTTTTATTAAAAATACATTTATTTTAGCAAAATTTTAAAACTATTTTAAAAGGTAGATAATAAAATAAAGAAATACAAAGAAATATTTTAATTTTTTAAAACAAAAAACAAAAACAAAATGATTGTTAAACGGAACTATAATTTTTTTTCTTTTTTGATATCTGTGTGTACGGACTAGCTTGCGCGCGTACCTCGACTGAGTGACCATAAATTTCCCGGTAGTGCCTAAGAGTGGAAACAATATCAGTTTTTTTGGGTTTTGAAGCAGCATCCTAATCCAAATACTCAATTTTGATTCTTAAAAACAACCACCAAAATAAGCCATTCAATGCTTTGCTTAGTAGCCTAAAGTTTTAAATGTAGATGAAAATGTCAAACTCTCAATTTCATAGAAATGTCGATAATGTCGATAGATGTTTCTAGAAAGATTATAAAAATTTTAAAAAATATATAAAAAATATAAATTTACAAATAAGCATTTCATTTCTAAACAAGTTTAAAATGATTTAATATTAATATCATTTCTATATTAATAATATTTTGTTAATATTTTTTGTATGTTGTCAATTTTTCTACAATATTATAAAAATGTCAATTTATCCTTTACGTTGTTTTCGACACACAGAAGTATCAATGAAAATATCAACATGTTGACGAAAATTTAATACCCTCGCTGTGCCATATGGATGATATATTATTTTCATTTTTATTTTCCAGTGTAAGATCCAACAGGGAGGATCAAGAACACATAAATATGTTACTTTACAAAATATACACTTGTCAAACATTCAAATGTGAGTGGTTTTTACACTTCTTTCATTTGAAGTGTACTTGCTAAATTCCTCGTAAGCTTGACGAATCAACTCGTCGTCATCAGGCCATTCGTCACGGTAAGACTCGAGATTGGCAATTTTATGCTTGTGAGCAGCAATGTACATTTGCTTTCTCCATTCTTCAAAGACAGGACAACCACATGTTGCTGCAAGCCAGTTATAGTACTCAGGCTGCATTATAAACATCCATACAAAATATCAGCAAAACAAGAAACTTGCTCACTTAAATACTATACTGTAATAAGCCTGGTACGGAATACACATTCGATCGAAAATGGAATTTTATTTATTATGACAAACTTCATGACAAATTAGACACTGCACCGGCTATATCACGTTACTACTTAGACCCTAAAACACATGATCAATTAGGAGATTGGAGACTCTACGCAGCTTCTCTCCTTTCTTGTTGAGAATCATTAAGTTCATGGCGCAACCCCACTAACCTTTGAGGACGCTTCATCCACCCCAAAGGCTAGCTCGAGGAGACTATAAGAATTATAGATTAAGTCAAATTACAAGTTTAGTCCCTGAACTTTTAGGTTTGTGCCAAATAAACCCCTGAACTTTATAATGTGTTTAATACACACCTAAACTTTCAATGTCGTGTCTAATAGGATCCTGAACTACAAAAGCATCTAATAGGTCCATTTGGTATTAAATTTCAATTTTGTGTCTAATAATCCTTATCTATTTGATATTCTTTTTTAATTTACAGATCTATTAGACATAAACTTGAAAGTTCTAGATCCGTCAATTTTAAAAAATGTCGAACAGGCCAAGAATCTATTAAACACTTAAAAGTTCAAGAATTTATCAGACACTTTAAAAGTTTAGGAATCTATTACACTTTTTAAAGTTCATAGACCTATCAGACACAAACTTAAAAGTCTAAGCTAAACTTATAAGTTAACCTTTAAAACTGAGTTTTCAACTTGGGGCTCGAACATTGTGCTTCGACGAAATTAAGGTCTAGACGAAGTTATTTACATCCATTTATTTTATGTATGCAAACATACTTTATTGATGAAATAGTTCTTAAAATTAAAACTCAAGTGAAGGAGGTGTCATGAATCCCCTTGTATGCACACAAGGAGATTCTCCTTATAGGCCTATCAATGAAGGGAGTGCATAGTGTTATGCATTTCCATGGCTTCCGTTTGGACTTCAGCTTCTTGCTCCAAGATATAACCTTTTTCTTTTTTTTTTACCCCGAATACTGAACTAACTGATGTATGATTTAAGTAATCTCACGAGACAACCATTTAACTCTACAATATTTAGTTATCAAGAAACTTATAGGTGGGCACCTTGGAGTCAATGAAGGGAGTGCATAGTGTTATGCATTTCCATGGCTTCCGTTTGGACTTCAGCTTCTTGCTCCAAGATATAACCTTTTTCTTTTTTCTTTTTACCCCGAATACTGAACTAACTGATGTATGATTTAAGTAATCTCACGAGACAACCATTTAACTCTACAATATTTAGTTATCAAGAAACTTATAGGTGGGCACCTTGGAGTTATATAACTCCAAAGTTCTTTGCCGACCCATTTTGGTTGATATCCCCCTATTCTCTCATATGTTCTTCCTTGAAAATTTTAGCTTCAGTTTTTATTTTTACCCTCTCAAGGCATTTAGCCCCCCTTTTGGGGTTCATTCTTGGTTTTTACTCTTCCTAAACAATGCATTTGGCAAGAAATAAAAAGGACTTGTGCTGATGAGGGCTTCACAAAAAAATCATTATAGGCTTGTGACTAATAAGCATAAAACATACCATACGTTCACCCATTTCATGGGTAAGATGCTTGGGCTTGCCAAAAGCTTCAAGATCGGCATAAAAAGCTCTAACATCTGCCAACATCTCCTCTTTCGATGGAAGCGCAATCCTGTTCGACAAAACACCAGCAACCCAATTGCTTTGAAGCTCAAACATAGGAAAAGGAGCAACCTGCAGTATGAGAATTAAACACAAGGATTATTTATTCTAACCATGAAGCACAACCGAACTTCGGGCCATGATCGGAGACTTACCTTAAATGGTAACCCGACAAAAGAAAGCCCCGTGGCCAAGGCTGGGGGGAAGACATGCTTGTATAGGGGTCCTACACGGTTGTCGTCCACGGTGACAACACCATTGGTTTCGAGAAAAGGGAAATGATATTTGTACCTTGAAAAAGAAAAGGTATAAAAATGCTGCCAACTAACTGCAGTTCTTATTATAATTCAACCCTTTTTTTTATTTTCATATCAAAGTCAAGAGTCAAGATCAATGTTCAAAGCAGTGTTTCAGTCAAATGCCAGATTCTTTTAGCCTCCAAGTTAACATTTTGACTATTTCGGAGAAGTTTTTGTTTCTCCAATAATTTGCACCTAAAATCCAATGTGGGTCTACATGTCAAATTCAATTTACTCCAAAATTTTCCCTCCCTGTGGCCCATTTGATAACGTTCTTGGTTCTCGATTATCAAAACTCTCATTTATTTGATATTTGCACCAAATTAGTATCAAAACTTACAAAAAGGTACACCTACATAATTTTTTTGGATAAGAGACAAATAATCCTACATAATGTGTATAGCATTTTTTCAGTCATTAATAGTTTAAGGTCTGTAGTTCATTCTCCTCATATAATAACAAGACTTCAATCTAAATGTTGTCTAATGTCTATCATTACTTGGATGCATATTGTCTTTCTAATATTCTTCTACCTACATCGAAAGCTCGAGACAACCTACAAGATCATACCCGGTGCAGTGCAGAATAACATCAGCCAGGACAACGCACCCATCTTGAAAGACCACTGAGCCATCTTTACGAACACTTTCAATCTGCATTTTGAGTAAATATTAGGGCCTTAAAGACCTCATCCAGAAATACAGATCCCCTCCAATGCTGAGTTATACCATTGGATGAAATGACACATTACTGATAGATTCTGTGTCAAAAGGTACTGTTTTAGCTGATCTGCAGGCAATGTGAATTTCTTTGGCAACTCCAAGGAGCTCCAGAGAAATGTCCGTACCACTTGAAGAAAAACCAATCACGACAACAGCCTGTCCGAAAATAGAAGAGAATAAACCATATTCTGTTATGATCGTTTCATCACATAAATGAAAACTTTGTTGAAATACAAGATTTAAAATGTGCACAACTAAGTTTTTGATATCCGTGAGTGTCCACGTGCACAACTAAGTTTAGAATCAGAAAATGTCTCCCCCTAAAACACCTATGATATCAGTATGCATGCAAATTAGCATAGGTATAAGAATATGCAGCAATATGAATGTACCTTACCCCGAAATGGTTCGGGATCACGATAATTGTGACTATGCACTTGCTCCCCAGGCCATCCATCAATCCCTGATAAGAATATTATAAGACAAAATAAGGAGAATACAATAACATAAAAACTAAACAGACAACACAACACAAGAAACCTCAATATACACAAAAAACGACAGTAAACAAGCAAGAACACAATCGACTAAACGGATATAAATCCTATAAGTATTGGCTAACACATCAAAACAAGAAGCCATCCATTATGAAGCATTGAAATTACTTCATTTTCAAATTAGTAAACAAAGCATCCAAGATGTTTAAAACTAACAATATAACTAGAAAAAAGTAGGATTAGAAACAAAGCATGCATCCACACAACAGATTCCAATTCCATCTCCTGTCTCAAGTCTCATGCTTCAACTTCCATTATCATCTAAAGAGAGTTCATAAGGATCATCATCAAATCTCTAATCAAACCCCAAATAAGACAGCAAACAATTGGGATTGAACTGAACAACTTTATTTATTACCAGGAATCTCTGCCACTCGAGGCTGCGAATAATTCCCAACACAAACAACCACAGCATCAAAAATTTCATCATCAACAGCTCCACCTCCAGTTGTAAATCGAACCTTCCATTTCCCAGGCTCCACCAAGCCAGCAAAAACCACCTCAGTCCGAAACCTCACCAATTTACAGATCCCAAACTCATTCGCAAAATCTTCCAAATACTTCAAAACCTCCCGATGGCCCGGGAATCGCCTCGGATCTCGATCCTCCCCTTCTCGGGGCACGAACGGGTAATCGCGGGCCCCCATGAGTTCTCTGGGGAGATTCGTGCGTAGAGATTCGTAGAGGCTGCTGTGGACCCGGGTCCGATCCGGGTCCACCCCAAGCGGGTCGGATTCGATCTCCGGCGAGTAGACCCAGATCCCTCCGATTTGACCACCGCGCTCGAATACCACCACGGTATGCCCCTCACGGCCGAGCTCACGGGCGGCGACTATACCGCCTGCTCCGGCGCCGATGACGGCGACACGGCGAGAAATTAAGGGTTGGGATTGGGAATTTGGGGACTGTTTCATCATCATTAGCGGAGGCGTGGCCGTGGGGAGGAAATTCAAGCGAGCTAACATGTGTTTGAAATTGTATTGTAGTACAAATTTTTTCGATTAGATTATTGAAGATTCGTTGGAAAAAACTTTCTTTTTTTTTGCCCTTTTCTTGGGTGGGTGTAAACTTTCTCAGTTTCTCTATATAATATTTTGGGAGTTTGGGTATTATTTATGATCTAATATGTAGCGGTTCACAAGAAAGATGTTATTTCTTAAGAAGAATTTGAAAAATAGAAGTAACAAGAACATATTATAGAGAAAAAGATATGCTACTTTGGAATATGAACGGTTCTAATTCTGAAGAGATGATAAGACTGCTAGTGGATATGATTGGATTGCATCGAACAACAAGCACGTTTCATTTCTTTCTTTCTTTTTCTGTTGGCAGAATTTGAAATTGAATTTGGTTCCGTTTAATTATGAATTTACTCTTTTTAATTCAAATTAACCATCGTAAGTAGGATTAATTTAAATGGACTAGAGTTAACTGAAAGAGAGTAGATTCAAACCTACGATAATCACTTACCTTAAGAATTAATTTCTATATATTTTTCGATATCAACTATTACAAAGGAAGCAACTATCCTATAAGATTAGTTAAAGTGAACACAAGCATACTCGAATACTCACGGATATTAAAAAAAAAAAAAAATCAAATTCAAGTCCCATGATTTAAAAGTTTCATTATAGTCTATATAATTAGATGAAACCTTGTACTTCTTGAAAAAATATTGAATGAATTTGCTACAATATAGTTACCTCCTAAAAATAATTGAATTCAACTTCAAAAATCTCTAGCTCTATTAGATATACATTCTTAGGATTTTTGTTGGATCTCTCTCATACCTACATTCTCTATCATCTCTAAGTTCAACTCGTTCCATCGTACAAAAACTTGCAATGGAGCCATTAAATACCCCTCAAGCTCCAACCAAGAAGGGACTCTCATCGAGAGACCACAAATCAAAAATAAATTAAGACCTATCATAGAGAAGGAAAAATACTTAGCTCCTTAATAGTAGGAAAGAATCTTATTCTTAACACCATTACAACTTTGAGAGAAAAATGAGAAAATATGAACATATTATAAAAACTAACAAGTTATCAATTTTTCAATAGTGTTAGGGACAGTATTTTCCAACAAAGAAATCCAAATCCAGTACTTATCATACAAAATTCCGTTCCCAACCTCAATTCTCTCAAAGATTTATACCACTCAACACAACAAGCTTAAAACGATTAAGTTTTTCAGATGTGAGATTTTTGCTCTTCTAATATTTTACCGAGCAAAAACCCAGCAGTTTTGAAGTCAAGATATGCTGCACATAGAACAATCAAATAAAATATGGTGACATACACAAACTTGCTCTTGTTCTAGGTTCAAATAACCCCCCTACCCTCAATTACAATACCTTCAGCAACAAATATAGCCATTAAATTTGAAATCTGCAAAGCAGAAAAGAAACAACTCCAAGTAAATTGGAGAAAGAACGGTGATCATAAGGGAGGGTTGTCCCTAGAAAGAAAGAGAACTTACAAGTTTCAGAACACAGAATAATTCATGGATTAGACAGGAACAGGAACACAGATGGAGAGATCAAAATGCTTCCGGCAAGAACAAACTAGCTGCTCTGCTCCTCTGGCTCTAATGTTTGTACACATCCGCCGCAAACCAATCATCGGTACTCCACTAAAACGTACACTGCCTTCCCATTTAATCTCTCTCGACCCTGCAAACACAAAACTTTCCTTCAATTTTACCCTTTCTAACTACTAGGGTTTCATTTTCAAACTTCGTCTTGGGCTGTTCAAGATGAAACCGATGACCCGAAAAATCCGATTAATAGAGGTGTTCATGGTTGGGTCGAGATACTTTTTCCACCCGATCCAATTGTGTAAATTTCTTCAATAACTCAAAGTCAAATAGCCACTATTATGACCCAAGCCAACCCAAATAATTTGGATATTCGAATCACTTATTTAAAGCATTTGTATAACAAACAATAAAAACATGATAATATTTGAAATATTTTTAGATACTAATTATCTAACATTGCATCTAAATTCGTTACTTGACTTTATTTATAGGGAAAAAGAACCCTCCAAAATCTTAAATAAATATAACTAAATATAATTTTTATGGTGAGTAAAAGAAATAATTTAAAAATTAATAATAAATTAAAGTTGGTTCGTTAAACCCGAACATATTTTAAGTAAACTCTTAAACCAACCTAACCCCTATGATTTTAATTTATTAGAACCCAACCCAACAAAAAACAGTTTATTACCCAACCCAACACAGTTGGGTTGTCGGTTTTTATCAACCTACACAATACGATTTGGGTTCATTGGTTTTGAAAAGTAAAAGCCTTAGGTTGGTTTGGTCCAAGGGTTTATCAAAAACAAATTTAAGTCCGAACAAACTCGAACTTATCATTTGTTTCAAAACCCTTTCTTTTACTTATCATAAAATTATATTATAGGTGGATATATTTATTTTAACTTTATTTCATTTTCATTCAATAATTTTTGTGGATTATTTCTACAACTTTTAAAAAATAAAATTATACATTTTTGGAGTGTAATTTCTCACCAAATTAATAAGCATTAGACCTATAGATCTTCATTTATTGTTAAAAGATATGTCAATAAGTGTCTAAGATATTAGCCTTTTTTTTTAATATAATAGTTTGAATGAGTAACCTGAATAACTCAAACTAACTTATCTCAAATATTTCATGGTTGAATTAGGTTACGTTCACTATTTAATACAAATTTGAGTTGAATAAAGAAAAATGTTTGACTCTGATGATTAACCTTGTCGTCACCATTATTAAATGTTTGACTACTAAGATAGAGAAATGCAAAAATAGAAACTTCTTATAAAAAATAATGAGTTGTCAATTTTTCTATGAGAGCGATGATAAGATTTGATCCTACTAATAAAGAGTCAAAGTCTAAGTATTTTCCTGGAATAAATTTACCATCCAAAAAATTGAATCTAAAAAATACTTCTAACTCAACCCAACGAAAATTAAAATAGATTTTAATAATATTCTCTACTTCTGGTTTTTGCAATTTCTGCACACATTTTTATAGAATTGCATGCAAATTATAAAAATAATTATTGCTTTCGGGTTTCACTTTTTAAAATTTGTAAAAATTAAATCATAAAATACAAAAGCATACTAAACAAAAAAAAAGGTTATAAACTAGGATATGGTTTTATGTTTTCTAGGTTCGAATTTTTCTCTCATAATACAACAAAATACAAGTCTACTTGAATTTAGTTTAATATGAAAACAAAAGAAACATATCTTTGTACTGAGATTAAAATAATTAAAATAATTAAAATTATAATAAATCAGTAAAAAATTACCGAAAATGAGTTAACTTTTACTTTTCAGAAAAAAAAAGTGAATTTTCTTTTATTAACGCGAGTCAGTGACTCAATGCATTGTGCTTACCTTTAACTCCGGCAATTCAATCACGCATGCACATTCAACTACTTCTGCCCCAGCTCTTTCTACGAAACAGAACATCTCATAAATCAAAAATAGCAAAAGTAGCCAAATTATATATAAATTGATAAATATTTTTTTTATCTAGGATAAATTAGTGAATGAAATCGAATATATTGTTCAATTAATTCTTTATTTATACCAACATAAACATAATTCAATAGTAATTGACATGTACTTAATTAATAAGAAACTAAGTTATCTTTTTCTAAATTGAAAATTTGATCTTTGCTCTAATATTTATTGAATTAAAAAATAACTAAATTTTAATCTAAAATCACTCACAAAGCACTAGTATTACTGACATATCATAGTTTTAAATCATGTCATTGATCAATATCGTATATTTGATATGAAAAATCTAAAATCAACACCATGGTTGATATGACATTTTTCAAATCCAATGAGGAAAATGTCACCCATTACAAAATTTCCTTTCCTATTTAGAGGGAAAAAAAAGCAGCTTATTTACTAGGTTAAATTATCAATTTAATCCCTAAGCTTTGTTTCAATTTAATATTTTTAATGTTTCAAATTAGTTTATATAGTTTGGAGCTTAGTTTTAATATAATCCTTACACTTTTAAAAGATTCAATAGAATTCATATGGCTTCTAAAACCTCAACACATTTTTTCTTATTTTTTACTCAACCTAGACTCCAATATGGTAGGTCAACACAATCAATCAAAATATAAAACACCAATTTTCATATACATAAAAAAAAAAAACATAACACGTATACAATATGATAACCAACATGAATAATTTGTGAAATCTTATCAAATCATGAGGACTAAGTTAAAACATTTAAAACCATGTAACAAATTATATAAAATAAATAAAAAAATCTAAGTTCATAAGAACTATGAATTAAAAGTTTTTAAATTGTAGAAACCAACTTGAAACTAAACATAAAGTATAGGAACCAAATTGGTAATTTAACCTATTACTAATAACTTTCTATTTGGTAATCTACTTTTTTTCTTCGTTTGATTCAAATATTATTTTGGTATTTTAACTTTAGTTCATTTTGATCTTTATACTTTCAATTTTTGCTCACTTTATTCCTTTGTATTATTAAAACGTTTGTTTTCATTTATTACTTTTGAAAGATAATCCATTTAGTCCCTATTTGCAAAATTTCAACACAACTTTTATCCAGATGAATAGTTTAATACAAATTTATTGCTACATTCCAATAAAAATTCAACAAGTGACGATCATGGAAAAATTTTAGATAAAAATGAAAATGAAAATTTTAAAATAGTCAGTTTTAAAATTAAAGAGGTCACAATGAACAATTTCGAAGGTACCCACAAGTATAATAAATAAAAGTTGAAAATATAAAAATCAAAATGAACTAAAAAGTTAAAAATACAAAAATCAAAATAATATTTAAACTTTTTTTTTCAACTGTTTTAACAAATCTAGTCATCTTTTCAAATGAGACCTAAATAATTGAAAAGAGTGATGGGGAATTAATGAAGCAAATGAAAATGACAGCTTGGCAAAAAAAAAAAAGGTCAAACAATTAGACAGTTGAAATGGAAATTTTCTACTTGGCAGCTAAAGATATAACATATATTCTCAATGAAACCAGTCAGTTTAGCTCATAAAAATTGGTCAAGAAATCACATCATCTCTCAATTCATACTGATAGGATGGAAAAAGGCAGACACTCAGTTCCTATTTTCCAGTACCTTTATTTTAATTGAACTGCAACCTAATTATTAGAACTTAAATCTCAAAGTGGTAGGTTTCAATTATTGACCTTTAGCTTCATGAATCTAAGTTCAAAAAACCCCCTACGAATAATTTGAAGTTTATATTACTTTTTTATTAATATTTTAAAGTGAATTTAACATGATGATTTTGAGGGAAAATACTTTTAACCACGGTAAATGCCAAAAACTCTTCCAAATTACTCTCTAGGTGTTTCTCTAAACATACTCTAAACTAAATGTTTTTCAATTCTTAAAAGCATCATTGGTCATTAAGCTAAACATCTTGATAAATGCAAATCAAAATTTTATAGTTAAAAATATTTTCACTATTTTAAAAGTTATGTCAAACTTAAATGACTTCTAAAAATGATGCATAAGTTAAAAAATAATATTTTGAGTATTTCCCAGTGCATTTCATTATTTTTAAAATCAATTTTTGACTATATAATCAAATACTAAAAGAATTTCAAAAGTCCTATTAATTGGTTAAAAAGCAAATTTAACACTTCAAAAAGTCATACCAAACCTAACTTTAGCAATTCTTTTTCCCAAAAGTACCTAACTTCAAATTAGTTATTCCAAAAACTATCTCGCTAACCTAAACATAGCTCAACTGATTAAAATATATATCCTCAACCAAGAAGTCGAAGGTTCAAATTCCCACTGTTAGGTTGTTGAGTTCTATGTTGAACTAGAAAGAAAGAAAAGAAAGAAAAAAGGGGAAAAAAACTATCACGCACTATTAAGAATAGTGGACAATGTTCCAAACTCATTAAATTTACATTTGGAACATGTTTTCAATAATTGTTGCACAATCAAAAAAAAAAATCGGAGCATTCTAGACTTAGAATCCATAATTTTCAGGCAAGAACAGTAACTAAAAAGACAAAAGGCAGAGAAATTAATTGAAGGGATTGGAGAGAAAAATACCAAGTAAATTGATGGCTGCACAGAGAGTTCCACCAGTGGCAATCAAGTCATCAACAACCAAAGCACATTCGCCGGCCTCGACAGCGCCAACATGCATCTCAAGGCAATCCCTTCCATATTCCAAGATGTACTCCTCAGACATTACTTTTCCTGCAAACCAATAATGCCAATAACCCAACAAAAATATATTTTCTCCCTTCACAAACACAAACACTAAACACTAAAAAAACACCATCTTAAATTATTTCTCACTGTTTCTAACGCCATCATCTCACATGATCTGCCTCTACTCATTTACAAAGGCAACCAATGTTATCTTCCACTTGTATTGTAGTCTTTCTTTTTCTTTTTTGATAATGGTGTGTCTTTGAATTAGTTGACGTGCTCCTGCACCTCAATTTATCACAAAATAGGATGTTCACTGTCGTTTGGTAATGTTGTCGTTCCTTGTGACTTGTTACTTGTCTATCCTGTACTCGACTTAATTATAATAATAATAACTATTATTATTATTTTGAAAAATTGTGATTTGATCTGAGAATATCACGAGAGAGAGGAAGAATAATGCGAAGGATAGAGAGGATGTAGTCAATCGGAGGGAGGAAGTCCAACCCTGGTCGGTTTGGCCATTTATCTGATGTTGCAGTAGACATCGACTTTGTACTAGGCACTTACCACTGGGCCCAGACAGACCAACCAATTCTACTTTGGTCAATTTTTCAGTCTTTTAGTTTCACTCCTAAAATTTGTTGGTACTCATTATCAGTTAGAGGTAATTTCTAATTTTGTTTTTGAATAGGTATTAGTTATATTACTTATTAAATGTTTAAAGTTTAATTGGATGGAATTAAAAGTTTAAACTTAAATTTGATTGAGCTAGATATAGAGATAAAATTGAACCTTATCTAAAACTAAAATAATACCATTTTTTGCATAATAATACCAAAAATAAAATAAAATAACACAATAATTTACAATATATATTTTCTTTCAAAGGATTGGAAGCAATACCAGGCAATTTCTTTGGTTTTCTCAGGGGCACAAACTTTGCTCCAATAGCCAACGCAATTGGAGGACCAAAAATAAACCCTCGCGCTTCAATTCCTGAAAAATATAATCAGATAAACAGATTCCGACTGAAAACCTTGACTAATTACAAATTATATAAGGAAAAAAATACATCTCAGACAAAATAAAAAATAAAAAAAATAAAAAGCAAGAAAATAATTATTTGACTTTCAGAGGACCACGCCGATATTTTGATTAAATCTTACCTAGTTCTTAGTCAAGATCAAAAAATAAGCTGTTCAATCAAAATCATACATGACATTTGGCTTCAACTATTAGAACAATCTTATCCCACTTAAGACTCATTCAAGAGTAGATTCCAAATTAGGTAATTCAATCCATATGCTAAACCAAATTCCACACAAAGAAAGTCATGAGCGGCCTAATTTTTTAGGAGAAAAAAGACGTAAAGATAAAGAAAACCTGTAATTTCTACCTATTTCTAAAAAGTTTTGGAGGAGGAATTAGAACCTTACCTTTTTCCTTGGTTAAATTTCAACTATTTCACTAAGTATTATGCCACATTTACTGATGGTGAGGGACTGAATTGAAAAATTTTAAAACACGGGACAAAATTGAATCATTTTAAATCATAGAGACTAAATTTTAAAAAAATATATCAAAACATTAGGGACAAGAACATATATTTGGTCAAAAATTAAAGAAAAAACTCTCTCAGATAAAAATTAACATAGAAGTTTTGTTAATAATGGCTACTAATACTTCACTATGTTCATCCACTAGCTCGATTGGTACCTCTTATCATAGATCTCGATTTATTTCACTTTAAAGGTCAAAGAATTAAAAATGTAGGTCACCTAACTCCAACATATTGGAAAACCTAATCACTTTGGATCAGCATGAGGAAGTGGAAGTCCTAATAACCCATTAAAAAAAGGTCCTGAGTTTGGTGAAGTGGAAATAATAAGAGTGGGGAAGTTAAAGGAGGGAAGATAGCCACATAACAAACTTGCTTCAGCTTTAATAAAAATGAACTTGAGTCATATAATGGATCACTATTATTCAACAGCAAACACATGAAATAAATAATCAAAGCTTTGAATAGATGCAATGTTCGTATTGATGAGGGAAATAATGGAACTCAGTTGAAAAGTTTGTGGTTCGTTTTTAATTAGTGTATAATTTCAATATCTTAGAGACAAGAAAACAAATCATAGAAGTCCATAAAAATAAATAGAAATACATAAATAAACTAATCATAAAGGCTGAAGAAAAAGACCAATGAGCAAAATTAGGCAATAATTGACAAGATTCGTCTGAAACATTAATGAAACAACTGGAATATTAAAGAAATGTAAAATTATTGGAAATGTAAAATTATTGGAAATGTAATTTCTTTTATGCTCGGCTAAATTGGTGAAGGCATTAATTATTTCCTATAAAACTGAAAATAAAAGTTTCTTTTTACCTAAAAAGCAAGGAGAGAAGTTGAGTAAAATAATAATTTTATTTTTCATTTTCTATTTTATAAAATTAAACTTATTTATGAATATTATCATCTATTTTCAACACCATTTCTAAAATTCCAGAAGAATGTAGAAATTTAATATATATAGATTCTCAATTCAAATTTAGAAAATTTCAAAATTAAAAAAAAAACGAAATAAAGAAAATACTTAGTAAAAGCTTAATTTTCATAGAGATTTCATTTATTTAAAAAATAATTAAGGGCATTTATATAAATCAAATTATAAAAACAATTTTCTTTTTAAAATTTTGTTTTCCACAATAATTTCTAAAAACAGTTTTCAAATTAAAAATTAAAAAAAAAATACATACATGGTATCTTGTTTTTTCGTTTCTATGTTTTCTCGATTAATTTTCCAGTTATTATTAATAATTATATTCCAAATTAACAGGGAGGAAAAACAAATAAAAACACAGTCACCGAAAATATCTTTCGAAACCATATTTAAATTTATTAACAAAAAAAGCTTTTTAAAAAGTTTAATCTACAACTTTTAAAACCATTTTTAATTC